AACTGGATATAATAGCTAAAGGCATGACTGTCTCCACCTTTCTCAGTTATAATCACGGCATGTTAGTGGATTTTTATTGTCATATGCTTATTGCAGCAGATACTATTTTCATTAAGGGGAGTCCTAGGAGTTCATATTGTGTACAGTAAATAAATAACGTTTAATATTATTAGGCATCTATATAATATATGTGTCAAAAGCAAGAACTTCTCTATTAGTACTTTTATTCGAAAGTTTTCCAAGTCCGCAACTGATCTTATAAAGCTGGAGAGTCAGGCCGTGTCTCAATCTCGAGTTCTCGACTAGCCATACGGGAACCTGCGGTAATTCGTTGTCATCGAGACAGGGCAACTGTTGTTTCGTTCAGCTGCGAGTTATGTTCTTTGGTTAATCTTTTAACTACGCTTTCACAACTTAATCCATCGCTATGGACGATTTTCAATCAGGAGAAGAGGTATGTAACAGATAAAATACGGAAAATGTAGTAGTTTTCGAATCATAGCCATTGATGAATCATCTGCAAGTCTGTGACATAATTTGATTCTTCCAAAATCGTCATTCATCTTTTACTTCTTTTTTATTTATAAATACAATTATGGAGAACTCATTATGCTTATTAATTGAAAATTAGTTTATTTAGCCCAGGAACATTGTTTGGTTGCTTTTATTAGTTCCTTTAAAAAAATATAGGATTATAGGCCCTACCGGCTGGTTTTATGTAAAAATTTATGTTTGAAAATGAGAAGTAAAGTACTTATATTATATATTAATTATTATTTTTGTCTTATCGACTTATATTTACATTATATCATTATAGTCTTATTTATACTAGTGAAAATTACAATTTACAGTAGATAGTGTTCGAGTACTGTATTAGTATTACTTTGTACGCTGTTATTACTAATAGTAGTAGTTAGTAGTTTTCATTACTAAACACAGTAACACCTCAACACGAACTTGCTTGTGAGAAATGCCCAGTTAACGTGAACTAAATGAATCTGCAACCATGACCATACTGCAAAAATTACATGTTGAAAGAGGTGGGGCCAGACAAGAGCATATGCAGCAAGCCAAACAAGAATAAGAAACCATAACAGAACTGGTGTTGTCCGCTGCTAAACACTGCAGAATTTACTAAGTAAGGTATCCTAGCACTTATAAACTGAATGTTTGGCACTCTTCCGAATACCGGTCCCAAATTATTCACCGTTAAAAAATCCTATTCAGGGCTTCAAGAGGTCATTATTTAACCCTTAACAGGGCGGTTGGAACGTTGTGTTGTGGTTAACAGCTAGGCTGCGAATTATGCGCCTTTCTCTTGTTCTTGTGGTTCACAGCTAGGCTGCGATAGCGCGTTCTTTTCGTTCGCCCTTGAAAGAATGGTTCTCACGTTTTGTTGCGGTTTACAGCTAGGCTGCGATATTTGCGCCCTTTGCCCCAAAGCATCCGATTTCAGCAGTCCTAATTAGTCGTCTTTTACAACTGTTATGTGGCAGTGGATCTATTTTTTCTTTCCCCTAAAATATTTGGCCCTGGACCCCCGCAACGGCAGTAATGGGTAATGTAAACAATGGATCAAAAATCATTCACGTCGCTTAAATGGATGGAACTCTACTCCTCCCCAAGACGCTTAAACAATGGATCTAAATCTATTCTTTTCCACGTCGCTTCAATGGATCGACAACGATTCCTCCCCACGGCGCTTAACTTAACGTCTAAACATTGATATCCAGCGAGCAATAACGGCACAAGTGGAAACTGATCATGATGGCCTACAGTTTTACTACATAACCTCCTGAGGGATGTTTTTCGGCAGTGATTAATTTGGGACCGGTATTCGGAAGAGTGCCGAATGTTTCAGTGTGCAGTGAGGATAATCTGTCAAATCACTAATAGCTTGACTTTCCAGGATGCTTACGTACATTTACGCTGGGTTTATTTACATGCTCAGGTCAGTTTTATCAATCCTCTACTGCAGATCTGAACCCACGACCGATATTTCAGCAGGCAAGCTTGCTACATGCTGTGCTGTCACAATTTCCCATATGTGATTTCGTGCTTCTTAAAATATAATTTAAGACTATAAAATTTAGCAGGGAAAGTAGTATGTGGTGCAGTGAGAGAGCAGAATTTGACATCAGGCTGCTTTCAGGAGATATCACTGGGGTTGCGGTTTACAGCTAGGCTTTCAAGCCAGCACGTACAGTTTCAGCAGATCCTTGTCGCCTTGTATGCATGTTTGTTACTGAGCAGTTTGTCTGTTCTTTGTCCCCCTAAAAATGGAGCTCCCTGCAACCCACACAGGGAACTCTAGAGTTTGATTTAATAGAAAATACCAATGGATGGTTAGTGTTAATATTTAACTGCATGCATTTATTTTTATTCCAGGAAGTAAGTATGCATTGAATGCAACTGCAGTGGAAAGTGAAGCCGTCAGAAGAGTTTTTGATTGATTGTGGTGTTTTTTTCAGGATCATTGTTTCCCAGCTACAGTGGTTTTATGGGGGTCTTCCACAGATTGTCACTGATATTTTTACTAGATCAGGGAGATATTTGTTGCAATGTAATAAGTGGGGCCTTGATTATTGTCATGATCATCATCATGTGCAGTGTGGATAAATTTTAGACTGTCATGGTTTAACATCTCACATGGTGATCAGAATCACAAATAAGGTCATTGATCTTGTGCCACCCATGCCGTACAGGTATTTATCTCTTGGTCTCCCCTTTGTTTCGTTTCCATCAGGTTTTTCAACTGTCACCAGGTTTTCGAGTTTATTTCTCCTAATAATATGTCCAAAAAATTCTTCATTGTCTGTGTCTTCTAATTTCTCTGTTCAGTTTATGAATTGCAGCTGATGTTAAGAGGACTGCTATTGTTATGATAACTGTGGAGTTTTCTTGTATTGCGGTAGTTAAATAGCTTGCCATTTATTCTTTCCAGTACAAAAGAATTAGAGAGCATCCAGTGGCAGTGCAGCTGTAGGGGTTGTGAAGTGTTATGTACAAATATTTTGTTATCAACACTATTGGCTGACAGTTGTTCATGCCAAGACAGATGCTGTCATATATTCTTCTCTCACTGTCTTCCTTTAGCTATTTTGTCTGTAAATCTTTTAAATTGTCAGAAAATATTTTATGTTTTCTATTATTATGTGGCCAAGAAATTTTGCTTTCCTTTTTCTGATAAGTGTTTTTTTTTCTCCAAATATCTAGATTTCTCATTTTGGTTGGGAAATGAAATTTAAAACATTGTTCTCTAAAGCCACATAACTGAAGCTTTTAAAGATTATGTTTTTTAAAAAAATGCTCTTTTACCATTTGTCCAGGATTCACAGTCATAAGTAGAAACTGGTTCTGAATGACATGCACAAATGTATATTCTTACCTCTGACGACAGGGGTTTATTGCATGAGATGTTCTTTATTTCTTGATATTTCTCTCTGTTATGCATGCCTGCGCTTGCACACACATACACATTGTAGTTTAAATGTCCAGTATGCAGTAATTCCATAAAGTTCTGTTAAAGCTACTGCATTTTTTCCATTATTTGCCGAAAGCCGTACATCTTTGGAAAACTGGATGAGCATGCTGGCTTGAACTTTTTAAAATATATATTTGTAAAATAATTGTTGTGTAGCAAAAAGTCTTTCATAAAGAGGATATTTTTAGATTTTTATAAAGTATTGCGTGTTTACACAGGGGAAAAGTTGGGAAACAATGATCTTGCTTAGTTGCTTTAAATTTGATGCAATCTTATCTTTATGATTTTTGTGTGTTTCAATAATCAATTATGTTTTTCAGGTTTCCCAGGTTATTTTATTCTGCCTGTTGAGATGCAGAACTTATGTTGGATGTGTTTATTCTCATTGTTTTGTTACTTTTTTTTCATCAGAATTGGCGAGAGGTATATAGAAATAATTTAAAGAAAATAATTTAAACTGCATCTCAATGTCATTTAAATATTAATTTACCTAATCAGTTTGTAAACATGAATATAATTATTTAGCATTTATTACCATTACATGTTAAACACATTAAACAAAAATGGGCAAATTTGATCATAAATACATCATTTGATTCTTAACACGTGGGTTTATCATAATTATTTTGCTTGTAAGGTTCATTTTGCAGTGAATTAATTAACTGAAACCATTTGTTTTCAAGTAAACTGAAGGATTACTGAGAACGCTGGCACTAGAAAATTAGACCTAGGGAGTTATTAAGAAAATGAAATGGATTTTGGCACTATTACAGTTAGTGCTGTTATCTTATTATAGTTTGTAGATATATTTCTGAGAGCATATTTATTTTTGCAAAAATGTAATTTAACTTTGAATTCTTATTTCAGTCGGTGAGTTGAATCTGAGAGGTTTATGGTACCAGTAACACACAGAGACTGGTTGTATTTTACTATTTTGCTTTAAGTGATCATGTTTTATTTATTGTGTTGTTTATGTTGTTGGTAATTTTATATTTCAGATGTTGGTGCCTTTTTATTTTGAGAAAAGTATTTTTTTTTTAAATTCAGTTTTTTTTACTTTATTGCATTGAATGTTCTGTTTTTCAGAATTTCTGAAGTGGTCACATCACATATGTAATTTTGTTGTTGTCTTTATAAACTTTAAACCTCTAAACTGGTATATTTGTAATTATGATGTATAATATGTGAAGGAGTGTTTTGGGGAAGAATACTAACCTTATCCTAGAAAGAGGAAATGCAACCTGAAAACTTGATTTTACGGCAGGGCACAGCTAGTGTGGGAGAAAAGCTCAGACAGGTTTTTCTGATCTGGTCGAAAGATGGATCATGCTCCATGGGCAGCACATGGTCTCTATAATACTGCCAGGTACTGTGATTCACATGCCCCAAGTAGCATAATATAACTTTCATCTGTAAAGTTGCCAACAACATGTAAAGTATGTATAACTGTGTACTTGGTAGACCAAGAGAGAAGATGCTGGAAAATTTTCATCTGTATCAAAAATGATTGACAATGCATGAGGCAGAAGGCTGTGGATATATATGATTACCAGTACCGCACTACATGGATTATGTGAAGAATGAGTTTTAAGATAAAAACCAACATCATAGCCCTCAGGATGTTCCCATAAGGGCTCTGTCACCATCTTCAGCAGTAAATGCAGAGCTCCAGTTCTGATGGTATCAGTAACAGCCCTTTCCCTGAGTGGTGAGTTTTGGCCAGATCCCATGGTGACTACTCACTACGCCATTCTCTTCTTCACACTGTGATGATCAATTTGTGCCTCCGCACTGTTTACTCGCTCCCAAAGGGCTCTTACAACATCCAGCTTTGAAAAGAAGAAAAAATATACGAAGTATTAATAGGTAATATCAGCGTGCCTGAAAATTCATGGCTGCAGATCTCTGGAACCATTCTCTTGTATGGAGGTAAAAATTAAACACTGCACTGAGTGAAAAATCCAGGCTTCATTATTCAAATTTCACTTAAAGTATCTCCAAGTTTCATATAAAGAACATGAAATTGTTTTAAGAAACAAGTAAATATATCTAAGGACTACAAGGAAGCTCTCTTGTGAAATGTTGACAGGTTTGCCTCATTTGGTCATGTTATTCTCCAAATTTCCTTTTCTAAAGGGATTCTCCAGGTTTTGCTTGAAGGCAGATGGCAAGTAGTGAAACAAAAAACATCTTGGACTAGCAACATTAAAATAAGGGACAGACACTGGCATTGTCACACTCAAACATTTTGGTGAAAAATGTGTGCACTTGTTATGGCAGCCACCCTACCTACCCACTGATAGAGATTAATAAATGGAATAAAAGAATGTTTGTTATCATATTAGATGTTTCCCGTGTGGTTTCCGGGGCCCCATTGTGGGTAAAGCAAGAATAGACCCACTGCCTCCCCAAAAAGCATGTTGTAGGAGTCGACTAATTGGAGGCTTCCTTCAAAGCTGGAGTGCATCTGCCTGTGCAGCAAGGAACAACTAGCTGCACACAAAAAAGACAGTAAAAGGGATGTACATGCAAAATTCAGGCCCTGGCACAAAGCCAAAGTCCAAATTGATGAACGACCAGGATTTACCGCCGGTGAACAAAGAAAAAATAAGAAGAAGATATTGGATGTTTTGTTGTTTTTTGTTTGTGTGTGTGCACTAAAATGTAATGTAATTTGCAAGTGAATCTTTTCTAACTGAATATTATTCAGATTAACCAAGCATGTGAAATAGGTTATCTCGCCACACTATGATACTCCAGTCTAACTGTGTTATATGCAGTAAATTGGACAGGATTTCCCAGATTTTTTTCTATTTGATTCCTATTTTAATAGTGGCTTTTCAGATCGGGCCATGATTGAGGGGGGAGGGGGAGGCTGAAAAATAGTATTGCAAAATTGTGTAAATTATAAAATAGGGGGTTTGAAAAATAACTACACCTACTTTTCTAAAGGTTGTAAAAGTAATTATACATCTGCTGGAAATGAAATAAATGAGACAAGATATTTTTTAACATCTTTTGTGTTTAGAAAAGAAACAAGTACTTTACATATGGCAAAAAAAAAATTAAGATAAAGTCTTGGCCAATGTCCATAGGAATATAGTTACTTGTTAAACACCTTGTACAGGGGGCTGCATGGTCTCGAGGCATGGTGTCCGCCTCAAGTGCAAGAGTTTCCGGGTTCATTCCCCGGTAAGAGCTGGGATTTTTTCAAGTGGACTTGGACTTCTAGTAATTCTCCCTGGTCTCTGGGTAGTGATTTCAGATGCCCCTGTGCATTCCCCGGTAAGAGCTGAGATTTTTTCAAGTGGACTTGGACTTCTAGTAATTCTCCCTGGTCTCTGGGTAGTGATTTCAGATGCCCCTGTGCATTCCCCGGTAAGAGCTGGGATTTTTTCAAGTGGACTTGGACTTCTAGTAATTCTCCCTGGTCTCTGGGTAGTGATTTCAGATGCCCCTGTGCATTGTTGCACACGTAAAAAAGCCCTTGGCAGTTGGAAATTGAAAAGAGTAGCTTGACGGCACTGGCCTGGCAAATTTTGGAGATAAAAATCTACCCAAGTACTTCAGGATCCTCGCCGGTGCTACAGAGCCCTGTGCACTGTGCTGAGCTTCTTCGGACTCAGACTTGAGTTAAAAGAAGTATTGAGCACTTATGGGTTGCTACCAGTGTGCCATGATGTTGATCCGTTGTTCAAAACCTCAAACCTCAAAAACACCTTATACAGTGCCAAGATAACATTATGAATCAAATTATATTATGTGCATTACAACATTAATTTCTTTTACCTACTCATTCTAACTTCTTTTGGCTCAGACATTCCCTGCTAAAAAATAATTGAACATTGTTGTATTATTTTAATTTTGTAAATAACACCAATTCATTTTTATTTTGCATGTTAAGAACATAAAGTTTGATATTACTTATTATTTGCTGGGTGTAAAGATGTACTTTACTTTTAGGCCTTTTTTTTTTAAATTGAATATTCAATTCTTCTTGTTGTTTCTTTAAAAATGTTTTAGTATAATTGTATTACTTTGTTTATCTTCACTGTTTATTAACACTTGCTGTTCCAAATGTTTATTAACACTTGCTATTCTGATTAGTAATTAACATTCACTGTGATTGACTTTGTGTTTGTCAGTATTTTTTTAAAATACGTTCTGGCACCTTTTTTGTTTTATGTAACACAAAGTATTTAATTCTGTCTGCACTTGTTCAGGGTGATTTGTTACATTGTCAGTAGCCTTCTAAATACTAAACTGCATTTATATAAGTTTAACTTTTCTCTTTCAGCAAGTAAGTGCCTGACTTTTATTTCATCATAAAAAGGAGAAGTACTGTATTATTATATTCATGTTCTGTTGTTTTCAGGTTGCCAGTTATGTTTGTTATAAAAAAAAAATTCCTATGTTGATTTTGGTTTTTCTATTCTTGAAATCTTTGACTTGACTTGTTCAAGTGTTTATCAAGTAAATAAATGTTATTATCTATTTTCTCATACTATCAAGTTGTCCCCTCATGGGGTGCATTTTTTTGTGTTATTTTGAAGCCCCACCCTGGCTTTTGCCAGGGACCCTGAATATAGCTGGGCCATAAATATAGCTAGCAATAGATATGGCCTAACGGTTGAAAGGGGTTTTTGCGACATAAAACTTCATGAATGATCCTCATCTGCATGGTGGCACTTTGTGTCACTGGGTGTTTATCGCTTGTGTGATGTCCTGGTGGGGTACAACTACCTATCTACTTATTCTTGAAATCTTTTTCACTTGTACGGGGGTTTATAAAGTAAACAAATATAAACTTTAAAAAAAAAACTTATAAAATTATTTCCCTGCTTTGAGGTGTATTGGGTATAACGTGTATGCCCTGTTTTTATAGACCAGTCGACACTGAGTGAATGATGTGGACAATATTATACCAGCCACATTTGCTTCCTAAAACATTTCCTGGTGCTCATTGTTAACCTGGGAGCTCCTGTCAGTTCAAAAATGGGAATTAATTCCTTTTAACAGTACGCCAGCCTGGTGTACAGAGACTTGTAATCCTCATGTGGGGAACAGACCGTGAGGTCTCAGACTGATAGTTCTAGCTCACAACTTGGTTAAATTGTGCCTGAAACTGACTAGTCTTGCAGTCAGCACTGAGGTACATATTGTTTATAGAATACATAAGAATTCATCTCATAACTTTTGAAACACAGTATTATGTCAGTCCTGCAGATTTCATGTTTAACTATGTATGAAGTCTAAAATTATGTTTCATAATAATGTTGAGTTAGTATTGCAAGATTAAATGTTACTACTAGCTGTCTGAAGTTTGTAATCATGTCTCAGATTAAGCCAGTCCTGTAAGTTTTAATTCTACCACTTGTCTAGGTTTTAGTCTGATAAGACCAAGTCTTGTATCTTTGATAAGATACAAGACTTGAATGAACATTGTTAAGTTCTAATCCTGATTAGAGTTCAGAATTGTATCATATGTGGTTTTTCTTTGCCCCACAGACTACATTTGTTGTAGATGAAGTCACAAACATTATCAAAGAGGCTGTCGAAGGAGCCATTGGTGGCAGTGGATACCAGCACAACAAAGTCAACCAGTGGACGTCAACAATTGTAGAGCAGTGCTTGAACCAATTGACCAAGCTAGGAAAGCCATTCAAATATATTGGTGAGACGAGCTACATACTATCATCATGTTGGTAATATTTATGAAAAGAACATGGAGATAAAATAGGGTTGGGAAAATATTGTTTTTCTTTTTCCTGAAAAGCTGATCCTTTAAAGTTCATCCTAAAAAATTCACAGCTAGCCTTTTTTGACTTTTATTATAACATTTGGACACTATTCTTTTCTAGGAAATCACCATTACTTCTGTCTTCCAATTATTCAATCTGAGGCCCAATTGGTCACTTTCTACCACCACTGTATCTGTCATTTCCTGTAGTTCTTTACGGCTTGTCGCCATCAAGAGGGTGTCATCAGCATAATGTAGATTGTTTGTGTTATGACCACCAACCACAGTTCTTGCATATCCAGGATAACGAGAATAAATGTTCACAACTTGTAATTAAGAAACAACTTGAATTAAATGGTGATTTTGGTTGCTCTGATTTTTAATTATTTTAAATAGTTTGATAGTCTTTCAGTCCATGTGTTTGAAGAACCTTTTCTTAATTATTTCTGCTGTTCTTTGTTCTGCTTTGAGCAATAGAAAACTACTGAACATAAAATTGTCTAGTAAAACCAAACAGAAAATGCTTGGGTTGGTTCTGCAGTATCCTCTAGAGGATACACAACTTTTTTATAAGTGCTAATAAAGATCAGTTTTAGCATACAACATTGGACTTTGAAGAAGGAAGAAGTATCATTATAAGTGAAATGATGCCCTTCCAGATTACATTCAGTCGCCTTGTCTTGTTTAAAACATTTATCATCTTGGTTAGATGCAGTGAGTGAAATTTCACCTATTCAGGCTTTGATTACATTGAAACCATATTTTGCATAACAGTACATATATTTCATTTTGCAGAGATCTCAGTTGTTCATTAAAATCTGTGTTTATATTCTAGTCACTTGCGTGATAATGCAGAAAAATGGAGCTGGTCTACACACAGCAAGCTCATGTTTTTGGGATAATTCCACTGATGGTCAGTACCGATTATTTCTTTGCATCATATTCCATTATACTTATTGTTTCCCCTCATAATGGGGCCCTAGAACCCACACGGGGACACTAAGAAATAACTATCTGGAGAAAAAAATCAGAAAAGTGCCAACAGGACATGTGAAGACGTTGGTAGAATCTGCTTTGTGATTACATTGTGTGTGTGATAGTGGAGGCCAGTACAGTCATGAGTGTCAAAATTGATTGAAAGTACACGAGACAAAAGGTTTTGATAGACATGACTACCAAGGCCACAAGGCAGGGACTAGATCCTCAAACTCAGAGCCACATTAGGTACATCAAGGATGTTTTCAGGTGATAGGACCGACTTCACTTTGCCAGGTGTTTTATCCTAATTAGCCCTGTCTCTGTTCGCAGACCGATTTGTTACCTTCAAGATCGTTGCACCATGCACAAACTTTGTAGTGTCAGAAATAACCCTCAGGGATCACCTAAACATCTACACTGAAGGGTTTGGGCTAAAATTAAACCCATGGCTTTCAGAGCAGAAGACAAATGGCTTAACCATGTTGCTATGGGGTCTCCACCTTTCCCAGTCTGCAAACACACAACTGTGATTCCATCATGTCTGGTGTTTATTTGCTGTTAAAGCCACTTTTTTGGTGTTGATGTGATGTAATATGACTATAAGCCATTTATTTGATATTGATTTGTTATAAGACTAGAAGCCACTTATCTGGTGTTGTTATAATGTAACAAGACTAGAAGCCACTTATCTGGTGTTGATATGATGTAACAAGACTAGAAGCCACTTATTTGTTGTTGAAATGTAATAAGACTAGAAGCCACTTATCTGGTGTTGATATGATGTAATAAGGCCACAAGCCACTTATTTGGTGTTGATATGATGTAATAAGACTAGAAGCCATTTATTTGGTGTTGATATGATGTAATAAGACTAGAAGCCACTTGTCTGGTGTTGATATGATGTAATAAGACTAGAAGCCACTTGTCTGGTGTTGATATGATGTAATAAGACTAGAAGCCACTTGTCTGGTGTTGATATGATGTAATAAGACTAGAAGCCATTTATTTGGTGTTGATATGATGTAATAAGACTAGAAGCCATTTATTTGGTGTTGATATGATGTAATAAGGCTAGAAGCCATTTATTTGGTGTTGATATGATGTAATAAGGCTAGAAGCCACTTGTCTGGTGCTGATGTGATGAAATACAACTGGAAGCCATTTATTTGGTGTTGATATGATGTAATAAGGCTAGAAACCACTTGTCTGGTGTTGATGTGGTGAAAAACAACTGGAAGCCATTTATTTTGTGTTGAAATGATGCAATACAACTGGAAACCATTTATTTGGTGTTGATATGACACAATACAACTGGAAGCCATTTGTTTAGTATTGATATGATGTAATAAGACTAGAAGCCACTTATTTAATGCTGAGATGATGTCATACGACTAGAAGCCACTTATCTCCATTTGATATGATGTAAAGGTACTCATGAAGCAGGTTCTTTGCAGAACTTCGCTCTCATCACAATCTGCCTGAAAAAAACTCATGTTTCTCGATAGCCATCTTTCATATCAAAGGAGTAACTTACATCCTGTGCCCATATTTGTGTCGGTTTGTCCCTGCCCCTCCTTAATGGTACCATGCCATCAGTTTTTTTCCAATCCTCCATGGCACTTGACATTGCCAAAGTAGTAAGACTAGAAGCCACTTATTTTATGTTAATAATGCTAGAAGCCACATATTTTGTTTTGATGTGATGCAATAAGACTAGAAGCCATTTATTTTATGTTAATAAGTCTAGAAGCCACATATTTTGTTTTGATGTGATGCAATAAGACTAGAAGCCACTAATTGTTTGCTGTTTGTGACTGCTTTTCAGGAAGCTGCACAGTGAGATGGGAGAACAAAACCATGTTTTGTATTGTCAGTGTCTTTGGATTGGCCATCTAGGACGCTTCAACATTATTTATTCATCAGTTGTCACTTTTTTTGGTGTGTGGGCCACGTGATAATTATTGTGTTCTTGCCTTCGGGAAAGGAATCACGCATTTATTGTCTAATTAAAAACAGAAGGACATAAAACAAGGATGTGTCAGCTGTGAATTGCTTCACTTTGTGTGTTCGTTAAATGAACAGTGAGATCATTATTTCATTTTTACCTCTGTTCCTCATCAGATTTATTAAATTATTTCCATAAGTGTTGGTACATTTAACATAGAATAAAAAAAAATTTTAAAAATTAAGTTGTGTTTATTTATAAACATAATACAACATAAACAGGGATGTATCAGCCGTGAGGGGTTTAAGTTTTTTTTTGTTTTTTTGTTCTGCAAAATCAACAATAATTTTTAAATAATACAGATACAGACAATTGAGTGCCAGGCATATTTCGCTATATCTCTTCACATCAGATTCATTAGTACAGAGTTACATCAACATAAAATGAAACACATAAATGAATAATTTCCCACTGAAATACACAAATCACAATATTTCTAGTTTAGTTACAATGTATATCTCAACCCCTAGTTATATAAGTTAGTTATTTGATCACCATGAAAGTTTTAATTGTATTGCAATTGCTTATGCCCATGTAATAAAAAATCAAGTAGTGTATTGTTTAGGCCTGCATTATTTAAAATGAACAACGGGAAACATTGTTTTAAATGAGATCATTATTTCATTACCTAATTCTGTTTCTTATCAGATTTAGTAAATTATTACCAAGACTATTACTGCTAGTATACTTAGAGTAATAAAAAAGATAGAAATTATTTTTGTAAAACCAGTTTAGTTGTTGCAAATGTGTTTATTTCTTAGTATTCATACATGATCTTTTTACGTACTGGAATGAATAGATTAAAAGGAAAAACAACACAAAAGAAGCTGTTTAAACAATTCTGTTTAGTTTGGAACACACATGTATTCTGTTGCAGCTGCATGCTGAGATTAGAGCAAATCAATAAACTATATACCAAAACCATGATCTGTGTGACATTTTGTGTTAGGGAGGTCAGAGGTGGTCTATGAGAAATGATGCAAAATTGAACATTTTGTGAAATGAAGAAAAGAAACAGACACAATATGTTCAGTGGTTACATGATGAGAAGAGCTTTGGAGAACACAACAATGATGAGAGCTATCAGAGGTGGATTAAGATGAATGATGTTGAACGGATGTCAAATAATGGCATGGAAAAATAGCAGAACTGATCCAGAACACCAAGGACAACTATGCTTATCTTATTTCTCATGATGTCAGTAAATACCAATATCCAAATAGCTTTCACCATCACTCTCAGGAGGCAGTAACACTTGTTTTGCCAACTGGTCTTCAGTGTACAGTAAAGCATTTCCTGATATTTGACCTTTCAGTCCAGATTCTACTACTGAATCTTCATACAGCTTGGCCGTGGCTTGTTTAGCAGCTGTGAAACTACCCGGGATGTACGGAACAGCTGTCATCAAGGAGGCATTGATTGGCACTTCAACTGGTGCTATTTCTTCATTCTTCATGTATCTAGTGTCAACAACTGCCATCTTGGGAATCTTTGGTTTCCTGGGGTGAACATCCACATCTGGCTGCGTGGAAGCTGATGTTCTAGTGTCCGAAAACCCTGCACCAGAAGAAAATCCTGTGTTCATAGCCCTTGTCCCTGAAAAATATCCTGTATTCATAACCTCTACTCCTGAAGAAAATCCAGTATTCACAGATCCTATTTCTGCAGAATATCCAGTATACGCTGCTTCTGAAGAAAATCCACTGTTCATAACCCTAGCCCCTGAAGAAAACCCAGTATCCATGAAATCTGTCAACTGTGCATTACCTGTATCATAAACATTGCACTGCTGGTGAGGGGTATTACTGGAAATGTACTGTGTTTGTTGCCACTGGTTGTGATGTTGCTGCTGCTGCTGTTGTTGCAATGGCATACTGTAATGTTGGTATCCTGTATACTGCTGGACACTAGGGTTTTCAAAGGGCATTTCAGTTTGTCCATAATTTCCTACTGGGATAGACTGACCACTATAATATGGAACGTTTTCATATCCAGAGTAAGACCCTGTCCAGTTACTGCCAACATCTTGGTTCTCATTCATCGGGTAGTGCTGATGAGCTTGTGTTGTTGAAGGATTTGCCTCTGGGAGCTGTCCTCCCATCTGAGATTTCTCTGGTCCTGAGATATATTCTTGAACGGCTTCTTCAGATCTGCTGTTTCCTTGGGTGTTATCTTCTGTATTATCACATCTGCTTGAAGAAAGTACACCATCATTGTTTGAATGTGTAGGTAATGTCAAGGCCTCATTTGAAGTTTTGAGTGATGTGTGAAGTTGCTTGATTCGCTGACTGACTGAAGGTTGGTGCTGTCTCTTCTTTGGTTCTTCAAAGTACAAAGATGGTGGTGCAAATTCTGGTTCTCTTTCATCTCTAAGGACTTCCACATAATTCTTTTTTACTGGCAAGTCTGAGAAATAGATATTTTTTTTTTGTTTCATAAAAAAAAAATAGAGATGTTTACAAAATAAAATAGTAAAACACCTTAGCAGTCAATTTCAACATTAATCTAGCCTATTAAGAACAATGCTAAATTGATTTGAGCTGTACTTCTATTTTTTATCCCTTTATCAACCATTGGCGTAAAAGTCCTCAACTGACTCATGCCAAGCTGCCCTATCTTTACTTGGACCAACACTTGCAGCTCTACCTATGTCTTCCCCCTATTTTATTGTCTCTTCCTCTAATTCTCTCTCTGTGTGTCTTTGTCTGTGAGCATGTTTGTGTCTGCATATCTGCACGTGTGCGCCTGTGGGTTGTGTGCACATCTGTCGGTGTGTGTGTGTGTGTGTGTATCTGTGTGTGTCTTCATGTTTTTCTGCAGGTGTGTCTGTGTGTGTATATGTATGTGGGTGAGTTGGTGTGTGAGTGTGTGTATGTATGTGTGTGTGTGTGTATATATATATATATATATATATATATATATATATATATATATATATATATATATATATATATATATATATATATATATATATATATATATATATATATGTGTGTGTGTGTGTGTGTGTGTTTAAGTGAGTGGGTGGGTGCGTGCGCTAGTGTGTGCATTTTTTTACCACCCATGCTTTTGTGTTTTTTTTCTTGATATTCACAATATGCATATTATCATATGAATATAACATACTTTATTGATAAAATATAACTGCTGTGTGAAAGACAAGTGTTTAGAAGGGTCGAATGTAAGACGGGCCTGAGTGCCCAATTTGCGACTCTTTAAAAGTAAAGTTCATTCGTTCTTCCTCTATTTCTTTTACCCTGAAGGTTTCAGTGCAGGGACATTCTATAATACAATTATTATTAGGTTTTCTCAGTGTGTATCCTATGCAACACCAGTGTCTTTTCGATTCCACCGCCTGATTCCAGAGCTGTACTGGTCAGACATGTTGCCTTTAAAATGGACTAAACTTGGGATACTTCACATACATGCCAACTGCTTGTACTGTGAGGTACAACAATAGGCAGCTGATCATGAACCATTATGACAGCAAAACATTGAGTAAAGTAAAATCGGGAGATGTGAACCAGCGCCATTGCACACGGTTATAAATCATAAGTGTTCTGCCACCAGTATGGATAGCTAATAAAAAATTGTCGGCCTGTGTCGCCATCCGCACGTAACTCCGTAGCTACAGCGACGTTTCTCCATTTACCCCAAAGTGTCAACTCTGGTACCCAATTGTTAGAGGCTGGCTGAACCCCAGGAACCGCCCAGTTTCGAACACCGGCAGTGTGCTGCAGCCAGTCGCAGCTGGATGTGAAAGCAAGTCTCCTATTGACTGCACTAACGCGGCCCCAACATTAGGTCAGGCACTACAGAATGCTAGGAATGTCCCTGGGCCCAACATCTACATTGGCATCTACTTTTTTTTCAGAAGACATTGACTCGCAGGTCGACCCAGCCTTGAGTGGGTACCAGGTGCAGTCCTGGGAAGTGAAGGTGGCTGGCGTGATGCTGACCACATCACCCAACACGTGCCGATTGGTCTATACAAATATAGGTCTAGCCCTATATTCCCAATACGCCTAAAGGTGTAGAAAAGGGTCCTTTTTACTTAAACATTATGCTGAGTTCAAGAAAGTTGCTGAGAACAGGAGACAGTGGTCAAGTATGATAAGACAAAATTTTCATGCCAGTCTTCTGACTGACTGATCAAATGCATGAATGAACTTTTCTTACCTGTCTGTTTTCCTCTGTCCCATTCTCTGATGTGTGCTTTCCTTTTTTCTTCTGCTTGTTTTTCTACTTCTTCCTTTTTGATGACATTTTCAGGAGCTGAAGCAAGTGATGCTTCACTCAGCTTTGGCCCAACTGTCCCACTGTCTTCGTCACATTCTGATTTTACTATAATAATAATGATTAACAAAATTCAAAGATGCAACAGCTATCTTTAACTGCTAAAACTATCATCTTATGAACATTATAATCAAAAAGAAATGAAAGATGTCTGAATTATACCCATTCTTCTTCTTATTACAGTCTATGCTGTACCTTCTTCTTCCATCACTCACTTAAGGCTGTAATTGCACTGTCTTGTTTACATGGCGTGCTGCAATATCTGCTCTTTTGGACCACCTGACTTCTTCAGACATCTGTTCCCAGGTCCAGTCTGTATGATGCCAGTCATCATGTTTATTGACAGCCTTGTGTCCTCAGTGTTGCCACTGATGCCAGTCATCAAGTTTATTGACAGCCTTGTGTCCTCAGTGTTGCCACTGATGCCAGTCATCATTTTTATTGACAGCCTTCTGTCCTCAGTGTTGCCACTGATGCCAGTCACCATGTGTATTGACAGCCTTCTGTCCTCAGTGTTGCCACTGATGCCAGTCATCATGTTTATTGACAGCCTTGTGTCCTCAATGTTGCCACTGATGCCAGTCACCATGTGTATTGACAGCCTTCTGTCCTCAGTGTTGCCACTGATGTCAGTCATCATGTTTATTGACAGCCTTGTGTCCTCAGTGTTGCCACTGATGCCAGTCACCATGTGTATTGACAGCCTTCTGTCCTCAGTGTTGCCACTGATGTCAGTCATCATGTTTATTGACAGCCTTCTGTCCTCAGTGTTGCCACTGATGCCAGTCACCATGTGTATTGACAGCCTTCTGTCCTCAGTGTTGCCACTGATGTCAGTCATCATGTTTATTGACAGCCTTCTGTCCTCAGTGTTGCCACTGATGTCAGTCATCATGTTTATTGACAGCCTTGTGTCCTCAGTGTTGCCACTGATGTCAGTCATCATGTTTATTGACAGTCTTGTGTCCTCAGTGTTGCCACTGATGTCAGTCATCATGTTTATTGACAGCCTTGTGTCCTCAGTGTTGCCACTGATGCCAGTCACCATGTTTATTGACAGCCTTCTGTCCTCAGTGTTGCCACTGATGCCAGTCATCATGTTTATTGACAGCCTTGTGTCCTCAGTGTTGCCACTGATGTCAGTCATCATGTTTATTGACAGCCTTCTGTCCTCAGTGTTGCCACTGATGCCAGTCACCATGTGTATTGACAGCCTTCTGTCCTCAGTGTTGCCACTGATGTCAGTCATCATGTTTATTGACAGCCTTCTGTCCTCAGTGTTGCCACTGATGCCAGTCACCATGTTTATTGACAGCCTTCTGTCCTCAGTGTTGCCACTGATGTCAGTCATCATGTTTATTGACAGCCTTGTGTCCTCAGTGTTGCCACTGATGTCAGTCATCATGTTTATTGACAGCCTTGTGTCCTCAGTGTTGCCACTGATGTCAGTCATCATGTTTATTGACAGCCTTCTGTCCTCAGTGTTGCCACTGATGTCAGTCATCATGTTTATTGACAGCCTTGTGTCCTTAGTGTTGCCACTGATGCCAGTCATCATGTTTATTGACAGCCTTGTGTCCTCAGTGTTGCCACTGATGCCAGTCATCATGTTTATTGACAGCCTTGTGTCCTCAGTGTTGCCACTGATGTCAGTCATCATGTTTATTGACAGCCTTGTGTCCTCAGTGTTGCCACTGATGTCAGTCTTCATGTTTATTGACAGCCTTGTGTCCTCAGTGTTGCCACTGATGCCAGTCATCATGTTTATTGACAGCTTTGTGTCCTCAGTGTTGCCACTGATGCCAGTCATCATGTTTATTGACAGCCTTCTGTCCTCAGTGTTGCCACTGATGCCAGTCACCATGTTTATTGACAGCCTTCTGTCCTCAGTGTTGCCACTGATGCCAGTCACCATGTTTATTGACAGCCTTGTGTCCTCAGTGTTGCCACTGATGCCAGTCATCATGTTTATTGACAGCCTTCTGTCCTCAGTGTTGCCAATAGTTTCTGCTACAGTTAGTCCTTCATACCATCATTCCAAGCTGTCTAGAAGCTTCCTTTTCAGTCTTCCTTCTCCTCAGACTCTCCCAATACCTTATCTATTTCAGTTTTCTCTTCAGTGAATATTTCAGTTTTCTCCTCAGTGAATACTGACTGATTTAAAAATCAACATCATAGCATACAGGGCATACCCACAGATGCTCCGTCTTCCGCAGAAAATGTTTTAAGGTGTAGTGAAACAAGGGCATGAATATCTTGTATCAGGTTTTCTGCTATTCATGCAGCCATTTTTCACAGCATGAATAACGTCCTCAGGTTCATCTCTACACTTTCTGAAGCTTTAACTCTCTGAAACCAGCAATGATTGATGCTTCAAATAACTGAACAATTTCTAATCAGAACACAGATGTTCACCACATTGTACTGTTCAGTAACTAGTCATTTTACAACAATCTGCAGTAACTAGTCATTTTACAACAATCTGCAGTAACTAGTCATTTTACAACAATCTGCTGTTCATTCTTGCCCTCTATTTTAATGGATTAGTGCAATATTCTCTGTCAATAGAATGAGGTGCCATTTTGTGTACACAATAGTGACATTTCAAATTTGAAGCCAGCAAAATTTCATGTTGTCTTCTTTATTCACTGAGATAAAATATGGGGCATACTTTCTGAAGGCTCTCTGCAATTGCAGCAGAAGAATGTTATCATGCCAGGAAGCACACAAAACAATCAAGTGCTGCAAATAACTAACCTTCAGGAGCTGGTTCTTTCAAGTTTCGCCGCTGTCTAACTTTGGCAAGCCTGGCTTCAATCATTGCTTTTCTTTTGTCTTTTATATGTTCTTTACGAGAATGTTCATCTACAGTCTGGAAACATAGGAAATTTCTGTCAGATGACATGCTAACATTCCGACACCAAATTCTTCTCTTACAAAATAATGATAATCAAAATAACAAACTTAATTCAGATCCATTGCTAACTTTCCTACACCTTTTTTTTTCTCTTCTGACTAAGTAAAAGAGCCATTTCCTTGCCTTGAGATATACCGGATATATTATACGGTGTTTACTCCACGTCTTCATATACTAACTGGCAGTCGATGTGGGATTTAGTCAAACACTGGAATTAACAATCTTCATCCTGGCCAATTTGTAACTTTCCTTTGCACCCGGCTGCCTTTACTTCCCATAACATTTCCAGAGACTTGTTAGACTTGGTTGACCCTGAAGCCCAGTCAAATTTAAATTCTGCCTTGACAGGGATTTGAACATAAATATGACCATAACGGAGCAATGATGTGCAACACAAGACTCATAATGCATCTTAGCGTCTCTTGCTCAAGCCTACCTCACTATCATGTGGTGAAACCTGTTCTCTCCAGTAATTCAGTGGAAGGTTGGGGTTTCAACTCCCAGTGAGAAATTGGATGGAACAACAACAACTAGGGTCTGTTGGCCAGCTACTGAGCTGAGAGTATGGCATGACACTGTGGCCTGTGAATTTTCATGGGGAATGCTTATTTTCTGTGCTCTAGGGGATGTGTGTTGTAGATTGCATATTCAAACCCCTCCCCCCCCCCACCCCCCCCCCCCCCAAAGTCGAATGGCTGGTTGTCACATAACTGGTGATGTGTCTCATGTAGTAATGTGTGTACACTTGCTGGTGTGTGGTGACTTCTGCTTTCATCAACTATGAATAGCAATTCTAGTGACAGACTGTAGGTGTTAGCACCTCTGGCAGTTACCTTATTCATACATGCATGTGTGCACTTCTGGATTTTGCTATGACTGCTATCTGACTTTTAACATGAGGCAGTGATGGGCATTGTGTATGGTTTTCAGTGGCGCAGGAACGATGCTACTATATAGTGACCTGGAAAGTTAGAACCCAGAAAGACAGCCTGAAAACCTGAACACATTACCAGTGAGCTGTAGGCAGGCATGCTAGTCACTGTTCTACATAACACAGTTCCCTTCTGACAATATCACCATAAAGTGCAACACAGGGTACTACAATCTCTTCATACAACCAAACATTCTTAATGTAAACAAACTGACAGCTAAAAAAAACCACACCAAAAAAAAAAACAAGTAAAAGACTGTTTAAGCCACTAACGCGTCAAGCATATGGTGCTTGATCCATATGTTTATAGACAAATAACCGTTCCAACAGTGATGTGGTCAACATGATGCAGGCCATCTTTATTTCCTAGGAAATTTCCTGGTATCAATTTCAGACTTGGTCAGCCTGAAAACCCCTGTCAAATATGAAATGGACCATGATGTGACTCCGGTCCTTATCCAGCCAGGGCTGCAAGTTACACTGGGCTGGTGTGACTCCGGTCCTTATCCAGCCAGGGCTGCAAGTTACACTGGGCTGGTGTGACTCCGGTCCTTATCCAGCCAGGGCTGCAAGTTATACTGGGCTGATGTGACTCCGGTCCTTATCCAGCCAGGGCTGCAAGTTACACTGGGCTGGTGTGACTCCGGTCCTTATCCAGCCAGGGCTGCAAGTTACACTGGGCTGGTGTGACTCCGGTCCTTATCCAGCCAGGGCTGCAAGTTATACTGGGCTGGTGTGACTCCGGTCCTTATCCAGCCAGGGCTGCAAGCTACACTGGGCTGGTGTGACTCCGGTCCTTATCCAGCCAGGGCTGCAAGTTACACTGGTAATCTGGTAATCTGGTAGTCTGGTAATCTGGTAATCTGGTAGTCTGGTAGTCTGGTAGTCTGGTAGTCTGGTAATCTGGTAGTCTGGTAGTCTGGTAGTCTGGTAGTCTGGTAGTCTGGTAATCTGGTAGTCTGGTAGTCTGGTAGTCTGGTAGTCTGGTAGTCTTAGTTTCAGCTTCATAGCAAACGGGTCGCCCCATCTTTGCTCCGCTCCTGTGCCAACGAAAAACACCCAGAATGTTTATCACAGTCCCTTGTGGAAAGATTGACAGACTGCTGTCTCAGCATATCTAGCATACACTCGCATTAAAGCATATGGTAGCCATCCGAAGTGCTAACACAAACAGTCCAACATTACAAATGCAGTTCATCATTGATGATAGCAGAACTTGTCGCCAACAGATCAGCAGTTTCCCACGCGATCAATTGTAATCACACACGGGCACTGCCAACATTGACGACCGGCATCGCGCCATTTTCTGAATCTACAATTCACACCACGTTGGTCACAGTCGAAAAAACATTCCAAATGCAATCCGCAGCTCACAGGGTCACGCCATGCATTCAACTCAGAAGCTGGGCGACGAAACTATATCCAGTCTACAAATGGAGCAAAAATACTTCGGCCACCGTCCGGCAGAAGCAAAAAATTTGCCTCCGCTCCGACACAGCGCCGCTGTCTAGCGTCCATTTTAACCGGAAGTTACACTGGGCTGGTGTAGCCATTATGGGTGTCCTAATTATAACTTCTTTAAAGGTTGAATGAGGTATCTGAGATTTGCCACCCAGATTGAGATTTGTTTCAATCACAGGGTGGTAGACCTTTAGGTAGCAGCCTTGAGGGGACAAACCAAGGGGATCAAATTTAAACTCAATACCATGTTGTTGTTGCTGAATGTTGCTGAATTAAGAATCAACATAACAGCTCTCAGGACACTCCCATAAGCGCTCCACCCCCCCATCTTCATCAGCAAGCGAAGAGTTCCAATTCCAATGGTACCAGTAACTGTCTGATTGTATATCTGTCTCACCCTTCCCTTAAGTGTTGAGCGTCGGCGAGATTCCCTGGTAACTCCCTGCAGTGCTATTCTCCTCAGACGGTAGTGATCTATTAGTGCCTCTGCACTGTTTACTCGCTCCTAAAGGGCCCTCACAGCATCCACCTTGTCATACATCAATTCACCACCAGGTGGTGGAGAACTGGCCTGTCTATCTGCCTGCTCATTTCCCAACACACCGGCAAGACCTGGAGAAAATATCCAAAAAATGCTAACAACCCGGGACCTCTGAAATGACGCTTGCCACTCTGTACGGAGCATGCCCGTCTCCACTTTTCCCAACGTGTGAGTCACTTACAATAAAAACTCAATACCTTTGAACAAGCAGGTAGGCAAGCCAGTGTCCAGCCACTGCCATCCTACAGCTCCAGAACTGGCTCGACTGCCAACATTTATATTTTCAAACTATTACTTTGATAATTTAACTACATACTGTAAAATACCGCTACGCAGATGACGCAGTCCTCCTTTCGAACAGCGTAAAGGGAATAGAAAATGTAATATTGTCTGTCCAAAAGCACAGTGAAGATCAAAATCTGTTCTTGAATTTAAAGAAAACAAAAATAATGTCCACAGATAAAACTGGCTGTCACCCAAAAAAAACAATAAATGATGAAGAAATTGAAAATGTCACAAACTTTGAATATCTAGGCTCTATAATAAACAACAATGGAGACTGTTCGACAGAAATTAAAAGGAGGATGACCATAGCAATGCAAAGATTGAAAGCATTAAAAGTCTATGGTTAAGCACCAGCAAGGAGATAAAAATTCAAATTTTGAGAGCATGCATCTTCCTTGTGGCTACATACGGATGTGAGTCGTGGACTATCTCTCAGTCTTTAAGAAAGAGAATAGGGGCTTTTGAGCTGAAATGCTATAGAAAGATTCTCAGAATATCTTGGACAAAGAAGATGAGAAATATTGACATCTTAAAAGATCTGAACATCAAGCAAGATTGGCTAATAAACAGCATCCTTTCTCAAAAGCTACAATATTTTGGTTATATCAAGCAGCACGACGGATTGGAAAAAATTATAGCAGAAGGCATGGTACTAGGAAGGAGGGACAGGGGCCGACCAACACAAAGATGGGAGCAGGATATAAGTGACTCCTTGAGTGTGAAAGTTCATGAGGCGGGAGAACTGGCGAGAGACCGAGTTTCTTTCAGGCAGACTGTGATGAGAGCGACGTTCTGCAAAGGACCTGCTACACGATGATGATGACTGTAAAATAAGCCTAACATTAATTACTGATGAAGTTATCTATAAGCTATTACCTCTTCTCTCATCTTTTTGAGATCTTCAAGCTGCGCTTCTCGTCTCTCATGATCTTTGGAAAACTGGAAGAACCCAACTCCATGTGAGCGGATCTCTGAAAGAAAACAAAACATCTCAAAAGATGTATTTTGAATCACTAAAAGCAAAATTTGTATCTCTCTTTACATATTCAGCAATTTACAGCAAGCTGGATGTTGTGAGGGTCCTTTAGGATGGTTTGAATAGTGTGGATTCACAAACAGATCATTACTGTCTGAGGAGAATGGTGCTGCTGAGGAGTAACAAGGGGATCTCCCAGACCCTCAACACTCATGGGAAAGGCGAGACGGATGTACAATCAGACTGTTACTGGTGCCATCGGAATCGAAACTCTTCGGTTGTGCTGAAGATGGGGACAGAATGAAACGTTTAAGGTTGTGTTTCTTTCGAGTTAAGTATGGATGCAGCAAGAAAGGATATAGGAAACAAATAATTATGATTCTTAAATTAGTAACTTCTTCTTCTTCTTGTTCACCAGCTGTAATCTCTGGCGGAAAGTTCTGGTTGTTTGTCCATTCTGGACTGCAGCCCTGTTCCAGAACTTGAGTGTTGCGTGTGCATCCGTTTGACAGATCTGACTAATTTGTATGCAGACTGTCGGTTCATTGCCTCTCAGGTAGGTGCACTTCCACGTTGAAGGAAGCTCCCAATTAGTCGATTCTTATGATATGCTTTTGGTTAGGCAGTGGGTCTATTCTTGTTTTCCCTATAATATGGCCCCGGAACCAACACTGGGAAAATCAGTAACTAATCCTGTTAGGACAGAAAATCTACCCTCATGCATATTTTACTACTCTGGCAACTCACATTATTCTGATGAAGAAATGTTGCTGATGCCATAGCTACTCGTTAGAATATGAAAAAACTCACCATCAAATTGAACATTCGAATAATGGATTTCCTGCTGGCCTTTCTCTTGAAGCTCTTTCATCTCATCCTCCCACTTTTGCCTCATCATCTCCCTATGCATGTCTGAGGACATTAGACTAGGTAGTTCATTACTATCTCTTTCAGTTCCAGACTCTCTTGTCTTCCGAGATGCAGCCCTGAATAATGGTATTCAAAACTGGTATGTCAATCACAAGTCTCCATTAATAACAACTGTAAAAGAGTCATGAATAAATGTTGAATATTGAACTTCTTTCATTTGTCTATCCCTGTGGAGGAGCAGCTGACCCAGCGGTCACAGCACTGCGATCTCATGCTGAAGATTTGGGTCTGATTCTCCAGAACAAATGAAGATTTTACTGTCAGGGACGGACAAAAAATCTGAAGCGGTATGGTTAATTGTGATTGCATTAGCTATACAGTCTTCAATTCTTCGACTCCAAATGACCCTGTTCCATATCACCCTAAAATATGGTAAATACCTGCAGTAAAGACAGTTAAAGACATCATCACTGTTGTGCCTTTCAGTTTTCATGTAAAAAAGAGACATTTGGAGCCAGCTTTATGATATATATTTATATCAATGTATATACATATATATATATATATATATATATATCTATGTGTGTGCGTGTATATATATATATATATATATATATATATATATATATATATATATATATATATATATATATATATATATATATATATATATCAGCCATATGACATTTAAACAATAATATTATGAGCCTAATCAGCAATGTAATAGGAATTTTAATTGACAGGCATTTAAACCAAGGTTTGTCATACAGCCATGTTCTAAATTAGTTTTCAATATACGTTATTACCTATTTGTTGAGGGTGGGTTGATGAGCCAGAGGGTTTATGAACACTGCACCTCTGGGAGTGGGGGGGGGGGGGGGGGCACCAACTAAGAGATCCCCTGCCAGCTCTGCTTAGAGCCATTATTCGTTGCCCGCCACCAGGATGTGTGACAAGAGCCTTGCATAATGATCCGTAAAACCAGCTCAAAGCTTGCTGGCACCTGAAATGAGCTTTGGAATATCTCCTTATACATATCACAATGGCCTCAAATTGTCCTCATGCCTGTGACCGAAATCACAATGCTACATATCATGTCAGTTAAAACTAACGTATTGTAAGTTGTAAGTAATGAATAAGTTTTAAGAAACAAGCTAGCCTAATTAATATGTTAAGTAGTTTGATTAAACAATTTGTTTTTAAATTAAAGAACCTACATTTCAGTCATTTTATATCTTATTTTGAGGCATACAAGTTAGCATTATTTCCCAACAGCTTTAATATTAATGCTTTATGTTTATACTGTCACATTAGGCCTATTTCCATTAAATATTTCACGAGATGAGTGCATTTATTTTATCTGGATACACTTCTTCAAGATACAATGAAACAGATCATTTTATTTTATGTTGTGCTTTCACTGAGTAAACATATACAAGGAAAAGTAACCAAAAGCAATATAAATTAGGATACTGACACTCTCGTTAAAAAAAAAACATGTATAATATAATAATGAATGGATCAGAATACAATTTCAGCAAATTAAAATTAAAAAAATAAAAACACATTTGTGCATTATTAAAATTGTTTAAAATTTTAAAGTTCTGATAATTGCCTTCATTACTTAAAATTATATATCATAAGAGGGTAAATTAAAAGATAACAAATTCTTACAATGCCAGATCTCTGTCTTGTTTCATGAGATCATCCAAATCTTTTTTCATGCATCGTCTGTCTCTACCAAGAGAGTCTTTAAAATCAATCCTAGTTTTAAAAAGAAACAGATAAAGGTTGCATTAAAGTTTAACAAAGTATCCCCAAAAATTATTTCCATGTAATACTATTTTAATGTGTTGGATTCTACACAGCTTCTAAATCCTCACCAGAACACAACTAAAACATACACATGGGACATGCCTAGCCTAGCTGTTATGACTGCCTTAGTTTGAACTTCTTTGGAAGTTGAATGGGGTATCTGGGATTTGTCCTGCTGGTATGCCATCCTAGATGCGACTCTTGAAGTCTCCCCCATGTGGATGTCAAAGCCCCATTTCAGGGGACAAAATAACAGACCTCTTTCCGCCCTCCATGCAGCTAAAGAAAAAGTCTACTAATTGGGAAAAGGGGGGGGGGGGGTGTTTTCTTCAAAGTCGAAGTGCATCTGTCTCAGAGACGAGGAACCAGTAGTCTGTATACAAATAACCCAGATGTGTAAAACAGATGTGCATGGCAAAACTCAGGTTCTGGAATAAGCCCACAGTCCAGAAATGGACGAATAACTAGAACTTTCTGCCAGGGTTTATAGCCAGCCTGTAAATGTATAAAAGAGTAAGTGGTATCTATTGAAATTGGCTGCATCATTATTTAAAAAATGAAAACTTAAGAAACAAGATTAAAGAAAATATATTCTAATCAAGTAATAACGGTATAAAAAATAGGCCCCTATAGAAAGCTAATGTTTATTTGAAAAGCTTTTCAATACGAAACATAAATAACACATATTTTCTTTTTTTACCATTCCTCATTTGGATCAACTGGCTCTGGTATTACAGCAGTCAGTGCAACTCTCTCAGCTTCCGCCTCTTCCTCTGCTTCTTTCTTCCGATTTGCCTCTCGATCTTCCACAATAGAATCAATGACTTTCTTCTGGAAGTCAACAAGATAGTAGTTACTGCCGTCTTCATCTGGAAGATGGAAACAACAAGAATTACAACAGCACTGAAACCCACAGACCTTGGCAATCAATAAGCATAATCAGTCAGTCTTCGGCTATTTATACAATTTGTGATTACTCATTAAAGAATTCACATAACTGCAAACCAGCCAGGTTTAAGGTGTATAATTATTCAATTAACCTTTCAATAAGGAGTTAAACATAGCGACATCAAGAGCCAGAAGTTTTAGTGAATATACAAACATAAAATAGTCTCGGCATCTGGTCAGAATGAATGCCTAACGAATGCCAGTATGAGAACTTCCAGATATAGATCAAGGGATAGACCTCTACACAAGTGAGCCATTAGAGCAGTAAAGTATTTAAAACTACATGTCTGGCAATATTTAAAAAAAAAATATGTCTACCTTCTCTTTCTGACTCTTCGCTGCGTAAAACACAGGTTAAGACAAAAGAAAAGATACATTCATCCTAACACACCAGGTCAAAGTGCATCGATCAATTTCACTGTGATTCATGTTGTTTTTGGGACTCAATTTTGGAGGGAAAGAGAATAGGTCCACTAGCTCTTCACAAGCTTATTGTAAATGGTGACTAATTTGGGTTTTACTGAACTCAAGCATGTTGAGTCGAAAGGCACAGATATCACAGTCTAGCTGTAAACCACAGTACAGTACAACAGCACTTTTTAAGGGAAACGCAGAGGAAAAAAAGAAATTTAGTGCAGGCACATGACAACTTAAATGGGAGTCACAGGTAGCTGGGAAACATAGCAGAGCACATTTGACAGGAGCAAATAAAAAAATATTCTGGTACCAATAAAAAAGAGTCTGTGTTCCCATTTACACATGCTATAGGTAAAGTAAAAATAAAGAGCCTGTACATCACTTTCAGGCGTATTATGAATATAGCGCTAGAATTAAATGTATAGATCAGTCAGCACTTGGTATACTAAGAAAATCGGTTGAAATTTTCAGAATCTGCCATGGCTATCCTCCGAATAACGGGCACAAAATACCCTAACAAAGCCTCAGCCATGTGTCAATTGCGCACTTCCGGCGACTTAATTTGCGAACTTGTGGCGACTACTGCGGTGTGGATTGGGGCTAAACTAGATGGCTGGGACTCACGAGCAGCAACTTCCGCATCTCCTGCAGCTTTGCTCGTGAGTCCCAGCCATCAAGTTTAGCCCAAATCCCCGTCGTGTGTGCGGCGTGCGGGATACTCTCGGTGGTGGCAGTAGTCGCTGGAAGTTCGCAAATTAAGTCTCCGGAAGTGCCCAAGTGACACGTGACTGAGGCCCTGTTTTTGGCCGCCATATTTTGTGCCCGTTATTCGGAGGATTACCGCTGTCACTACTATGCATGAGTAATCCTTTTCTGGGTGGCTCTGTGGCTTAGAGGTTAGGGATTGCATTTAACAATTTCATGATCCACAAGTACTAGGGTTTAATTTTTGTGGTAAGTGGTTTATTTAAAAGAACTGCCCTCCTGGTTTTGGGCCTGTGGTGCGAGTCTCACCACGGTACAAACTGGCATCTCACCAGGTAATATTCCCAAAGACAGCAGTGATACAATGGACAATCTTAACTGCTCAGACAGCTTAGATTTTTTTTTAAAAATATTTTCTACATACATTTCCAAAAAAGAAAATCATTTCAAACTACTATGGCATCACTTACAATTACAATATTATGTATATCAGCAAGAAGAATTAATTATTTTGCCGAATTCTGATGTTGATCTAATTCGGTGTCTGCATCTGATGAGATAGTGAAAAATGCCAGATAATAAAGTGTGGAATCTATTGTTTGTGTCATGATTAGTCAAATTCCTACTGGAGATTGTTTGAAAAAATAATACAAGTGTATTTCGCCCTTTTCTCGTGGTACATGGATGTATTTTTCTTGTTCAAGTCTTGTGATTCTTGTTCAGAAATAACTGCCCAGTTTTGGTGGTCATTTTATTGTCCTTTTATCACTTTTAGTTGTCATTCTATATGTTCTTGCTCACTGTGATTCTCAAGAGCAAGATGTAATAATCAACTTAGCTGAGATTAGTCTCAATTTTTAAACTAAAGGCATAGAAAATACCTGGTATAGTTGAATTGTTGCAAAGTTTGTCATACAGCCTGGCCTTTTGTTCAAGAGCTTTCCTGGGGAAAAAAATAAGCAGTAGTACATCTACACCCGTTTCAGGAAATAAAAGACAGCAACTACATGCGCATGTAAGTTTTTTGCCATCTATGCATTCTAACTGGATTCGCTGTGGTGTAGCAGCTAGACGCTCACATGCCAATTGCAAGATCGTGGGTTTGCTCTTTGGCGGAGCTGGACTTTTAAAAAAAAATGACATTGACTCCCAGGTCGACCCAGCCTCAAGTGGATACTGGGTGCCGTCCCGGGAAGTAAAGCCGGCTGGCGTGATGCCGACCACAACACCCATCTTGTGCCGATTGGTCTATAAAATATAGGTCTAGCCCTATATGCCTTAAGGCGTGGAAAGAAAGGACCTTTACTTTTTTTTTTTTTTTAATTTTACCTTTACTTTAAAAAAAAAATTTTTTTTATGCAATTAAAAAAATAAGGCACGATAAAATAAATGATTTCCCTTCTGTGTGCAAGTACACCTGTAGAGGACAGGATTCTCTTTGAAAGACAATGAGTTTACTTCAACTTCACTACAAATAAATGAACCCCATGTGTGACTTGGGAGTTTGACAAACTGACTGACAATCTGAAGGTCCGACATCCTGTGTCTCATAAAGAGTCACATCCTGACTAATAATATCACAGCTTCACATGTGTAGTGCCTGTGCTGGTAGTTGTTCTGGCTGCATTCTTACGATGATGATCAAACCATTTGATCTTCTGCTTCTCAATGAATTTGCTGCATGGTGTTGTTCCTACAGTCTGCCTGATAATATCATTTCTAATTCTGTCTCAGATGGTTAAGTTAGTGGCTTTTCTCAGACAACTTATTTCACAGGTGTTAAGTTTACGAAGGTTAGCATTTGATAATGTCCAAGTCTGGCACTGGTAGAATAGTGTTTAAATAAATAAGATCTTTGATGAAATCAACTCCCATATTAGAAATGGAGAAAGCTGGGAAAACACAGGCACTGAGAGAACGCAGAGATACAAAGTTGCAAATACAAGCTGAAAAGTTCCTCAGTATGCCAGATCACCCGATGGAAAATAGATTTAAGAACCTAGCCTTGGGACGGTTAAAAAGAAGCAGCTTTATACACCAAGCAAAAAGAATATGTAGACAAACTCCTGACCTTCCAGAAATTGGCTGCCCACTTAAAAGTATTCCGGAACAAACCCCATGGAGAGAAAAATGTAAACTAACGGTACAAATCCAGACAAATGTGAAAGGGATATTTGACAAGAAAGAGCAAGATAGTGTACAACGCAGAATGGCCACCCTCAGTTATATTGATGAAGAATACCCACAAGAACAATGGGTCAGAGTCTATACAGATGGGTCCGCAGAAAGTGCAGTTAGAAATGGTGGTGCTGGAGTGTACATCGAATTCCCAGATGGTACTAGGGATAAGTCAAGCGTACCAACCGGGAAGTACTGCCATAACTATGATGCAGAAACCCAGGCTATTAAGATAGCTACAGAGAAACTGCTAAATACCAACCTTGGCTTACAGTATGTGGTAATGCTCACAGATGCTAAATCAGTACTTGAAGCACTCCAGTTTAGGAAACTACCAGAATTGCAAACACTGCTGACACAACTCAGCGCTCAGCGAAGAGTCGTAATGCAGTGGATACCATCTCATTGTGGAGTGCCTGGAAATGAGAAAGCTGATCAACTGGCAGGGGAAGGTGCGAAAAAAGAGCAGCCAGATGTACCAGTCACATACCACCAAAAGAAAAGAATCATTAAATCGATCAGGAAACCACCAGCCCCAGCACAAGACGACTATTTTATTATGGACAGACCAGAACAAGTCATTATCTTCCGCCTCAGAACAGGGCACAACCGATTACGTAACCACATGTACACAAAATTCAAGATAGGTGTATCAGCCATGTGCACCTGTGGAAATGTGCCCCAGACCGCAGAGCATGTACTCCAGGACTGCACCGATTTTGACACATTAAGGCAAACCTTTTGGCCAGAAAGAACAACAGTGGAACGTAAACTCTATGGATCACTGAATGAACTAACAACGACAGTGAAATTTATACAAGAGACAAAACTGCTGATATAGATAACTTATTTCAGGCGAACGAAAGAAGAAGAAGAATAAGATCTTGATAATCTGTTTCTTTGTGTGCACACTTATGTTTGGATGTCTTAATAACAGTGTGAGATGATTATAGACAGCACAGAAAAAGCAATTATCTCGCACGTCTCCTTATGTGGGTTCCGAGGTTCTATGGGGGGAGGGGGTAGACCGACTGTCCCCCTCCAACAAGCGTGTTGTAAAAGATAACTAATTAGGGATGTTTCCTTAAAGTCAAAGTGCATCGGATTTAGAGGTGAATGACCCACAGTGTGCATAAAAATAAGCCATATCTGTAAACGGCTGTGCATAAAAATAAGCCAGATCTGTAAAATGCTGGTGCATGCAAAACCCAAGTTCTAGAACAAGACTAAAGTCCAGAAATGGACGAACAAGCAGAACTTTCCATCAGAATTTGAAGCTAGTGAATGGGAAGAAGAAGAAGAAGAAGATCTGGTAAAAAAAACAGTACATCAGGCAGCCGCATGTATACAAAATTTCGTACTGTAACAACAGTCATGTGTTCATATGGTCTGGTGCCCCAGACAGCAGAGCCTATATTCCAAGACTCCCAATATGATACATTATGCAAACAATTTTGCAACTAGAAAAACAACTATGAAAAGTAAACTTCATGGACAAATGAGTGAACACTGAAATTCTTAAGACAACAACACTGCAGATATATACTATTTTAAAAGTGAATAGAAGAACAATGAAGAATTTTAACTAAAATGCACAAAATAAAGAGATCAACATGACGAAGTACTACTGACAGTAGACAACAGAGAAGAGCAATGAATGCACTCTTAGGAAGATTTCATAATCAAACAATCTGCAAGGGAAGATCATGCAAAATATGGAACAATGGCATCAAGAACAGGCTTGAAGAAATAGTGATAAACGTTTACCACACATCAGAAAAAGAAAACACAGGCAATCCATACACTTCCCTCCTCACTCCTTTTTCACACTGCAATGGGGTAACTGGAGGAAGAGAAGAAGAGAAAGAACTACCTGGACTTGCTATGAACATCCTCTTCTTCACTGGTTCTGCTAGCCTCATCGTTCTTAGCCCTTGCCAGAACACCAGGATTCTGCTGATTCCAAATGCTACCTTTTGTATTCTGTGCAGAACAAAAGTGGTCAGTACAATTTCATAACTTCTGCAAAATGAATACAAAATTCAACAGTTCATATACACACTGTGTTTATATTATATCACAAGCTCATGGGGTACTGTGTACACAAAAGATTTAAATGGGAGAGATCACAAGGAAGACAAGAACAAGGTGGAGAAATAATATCCAGGTAAACCTACAACACTTGGAGTCACCAACTGGAAAGATAAGGCCAATCACAGAGATTTAACGAGGTGGATGACATCCACAGCAATAAACCTTGAGGGCTCAGAACGCCAAAGAAGAAGAAGAAAAAAAAAGATTTATGAGGTGAACTGACTAGTTTGGTTTTTTTTTTTCACCTTTTGCTTTAACCAAATTAAAACAAAGTTAGATACTTATTTGACAAAAACAATATATTCAAAGCTCAAATAGGGGAACTGATAACGTATGCAGGGATACAATAACAAAACAAACAAGAAGGAGCATGAAAAAGAGAAACATAAACAAATTAAATAAATAAATACAAATAAAAGTATGATGAACACTGATCTCTACAGGACTTAGAATGCCAAAACTATTTATTTTATAAATGAATCCAAGAATTTATGGTCCACATTCTGGTTTGTAAAGTATCACTTGTATTACACACTGTTATCTCCATAAGTGCTCCAGACTCCATTAAATAATTATCTATATATTACCTTGTTGTGCTGATATACAGATCTCATCTAGAAAATATATTTTTAAATCAGAGGCTAGAAATTATGAAGATACTGAAGAAGACATTACTTAATTCAGTTGAAGAAAAGGAAAATGATGAAACAAAATAGATCCCATTCCATCATGTGCAGACGACATGAAGTGCACAATTTTTAACGATATTACCTACAAAATTAGTGAGGCAGTCATTAAAAATATGGTTAGACACAAGGCTACATAAGCAACAGCATAGATAAATATATATACACAATAGAGCCACAGACAGTTTTGACTATTCTAAGCACAAATTACGAGACCCTACCTTTTCTGGTTTTGCTCCTCTTATAATATTAGAACCAGCTGCTTTCTGTCGTTTGAATTCCTCTTGCTTACGAAACAGTTCAGCTTTAAGGTCTACCATCTGAAACAAAAACTAGTAAAATTAATATAATTACAAGAAATTATTTCATTTTATAATACTGAAAATTGACTTACAAGTCACAGCAATGAAAAAGAGAGGGAAATTATGGATGGTTTGGCATCAGGAAATCGAAGATCATGGGTCAGAAATTACTGAAATGCCTAATGCAATATTTATCTGGTAGGTCGGGCTCCATATTCTCCTGTCATTTTTATCTTGAGTTGATTATAACCCAAAAATAATTGTATGATTAGATGGGAGACTACAGAGCCCAAAGGATTTAGCCTAAATGACAAAAATGATTGTGACAACAGGTTGCAAGAATACCTTCTTCCAACAGGTGGGAAACAGACCCTCATCACAGCATATAAATTATTTTCTCACTAACCTTTAATAATCACTCACACACACACATTAATATTTCCAAATTATTGTCTGCTGTTTCAGTGGTGTAAACATCCAATCAGAAGTCTGTGGGTGATCTGATCAACATAACTTTGGCCACTTTTACTTCCCAGGACATACCCAGTAACCATTCTGGTTAGTCTTTATCAACCAACAAAACACACATTCTATAAAAACGAAAATACCACAGCCATACAAATAGACAATTTACAAGACCATTCATTATGATTAATAGTAAGTGTGAGTATAAGAAAACAATGCTATGTAAATTAAGAAGTAAACAATTTACCAAATTAGCCAGGTAAGTTTGGTTATTTTTAGTGACTTTTAATAATTATTTGTAATAATTATGAGTCTTCTTCTTAGTCTGCTTTATCTTCGTCTGCTTCTTTTTCACTTCCTCTGTGGACCACTCTGGGTGTCAAGGAAGATATAAGGTTCTGCTTTTTTTGCTTTTCTGGCCGCCTCAACTACAGACACATCATGCTGTTGTAGAGTTTCTCTGCTGTTTTCTTTCCTATCTTGTTCATGGTCTATCTTGTGATCTACATCCTTATCTCTTGGTTTATGCCTAGTATGGTATGGTGTCACAACACATTCTATCATAAGTGTAATTTATAACTGGTTCTGTGCTAACTTTTTCTCTTATGAGTATGACCTCATTTCTAATTTTATCTCTTCTGGTCACTCCTAAAGCCTTTCTCAGACACATAATGTACGTTCCTGTGGTTGTTAATTTTTTTTTCTGGTTTGCTGTCAGTGACCATGTCTTGCACTGGCAGTACAGAGTGGGAATGAATATGCTTTGTATGAGACATTTCTTTGTGCTGTGAGATTGTCTTATGCTGTAACTGATAACTGTAAGAGGGTAGTTAGCTGTCAGAATATTTGGTTTGCTTACTGCATCTAATGTTAACTTATTCATTAATTTTCCCATCTTCGGAGAATGTTGTTTATTATATTCATATGCCTGTTAATTTGCACTCCAGTTTACTGATATATATTTAGTTTATGCTTCTTTCTTCCTATTGAGTTAATGACATTACTTCTGTATTTTCAGCATCAATAGTTGATTTTCATTTATTCTCATTTTTTTAAACCTTCTTTAAATTAAATCTTTATTTATAGTAGTCATAGTCATAGTTACTAAGTAGTATTACTACTATACTATACTATTAGTATTATATTATAAGTAATATAGTACAAGGTCTGATAATTAGGTAATGAGACTGATCTTTTTATGGCCAAGACAAAAATGCCATCTATCTGGTAGTTTGGTAGTCTTAGTTTCAGCTTCATAGCAAACGGGTCACCCCATCTTTGCTCCGCTCCTGTGCCAACGAAAACACTTAGAATATTTATCACAGTCCCTTGTGGAAAGATTGACAGACTGCTGTCTCAGCATATTTAGCATACACTTGCATTAAAGCATACGGTAGCCATCCAAAGTGCTAACACAAACAGTCTGACATTAGACATGCAGTTCATCATTGATGGTAGCAGAAGTCACCAACAGATCAGCAGTTGCCCACGCGATCAATTTTAATCACATACGGGCACCACCAACAATGCACGACAGGCATCGCGCCATTTTCTGAATCTACAATTCACACCACCACGTTGGTCACAGTAAAAAAAAACATTCCAATTGAAATCCACAGTTCACAGTGTCACACCATGCATTCAACTCAAAAGCTGGGCGACAAAACTATATCCGGTCTACAAATGGAGCAAAAATGCATCGACCACCGTACGGCAGAAGCAAAACATTTGCCTCGGCTTTGAACAGTGCCCCTGCCTAGAGTCCATTTTGAACATCTATGAAGCAAAGCATGGAATCCAAAGAGGCAACCTTCATTTATGATCTGGCAACTTTTCATCGCCGTCCGATAAGCAGACAACAAACAAGCCGTCATTTTGTTGAACTAGTCAGAGGTGCATTGTTACATAATCAGTATGGGGCAAAAAGCTAACATTAAATTCTGTTTGAAATTTGAAAAAAGTGTCATTAAAACAGTTGAATTGATGTGACAAGTTAATGGGGATAATTGTTTATCTGGTGCACATAATTTTAGGTGATTTTCACGATTCAAAAGTGGTGTAGAAATGATTACTTATGCAACTAGACCTGGACGCCCAATTTCTGTTTGTTATGGCTGGAATTCACTAGCAAATAAAATGAAGGAAGCTGCAGGAGATGCGGTAGCTGCTGCTCGTGAGTCCCAGCCATCTAGTTTAGCCCCAATCCACGCCGCGCGTAGCGGTGTGGGAGATACTCTCGGCAGTGGCCGTCGGGAGTGCGCAATTTAAGTCACCGAAATCCGCAATTTACATGTGAGTGAGGCCCTGTTAGGGTATATTTTCGGCCTCGATAATTTGGGACCGTTATTCGGAAGAATGTAATATAATAATAATAATATGTAATGTATATATTTTATCAGGAAAACGAAAACTTACAGACGACGTTACAGAACTTTTTTTACTGCTCTCCATTATAATTCTGTTTGAAGTCCATGATACAATATATTAACTTATTTATATGAACTCCATAATAACAATAAAATAAAGAACACTGGAGGTAAGTTACGAAAGATAAGCAGGGATTTGAAACCCAATATCCTTAGCCTATGTTTATTTTGAGCAAAATTCTGGAATTATCAATTACAATTGACTATTTTTGTATCTATAAATGTTGATATTAGATATTCCGAAACAAAATATATATTTTTCAGATGTCTTGTCTTGTCTTGTCTTGTCCACAATTGCCTCACAGCGTAGTGGGGAGTCGCAGTTTTCTATCCTGGGCCAGGTGTGTTGCACGGGTTGTTGTTAGTCCGTGTTGCTTCAGGATCTCTGATATATTGTCTATCCATGGTACTCTCGGTCTGCCTCTTGCTCTAGGGCAGTAGTGCTGTTCGTTGTATGCTCGTAGAGGCAGTTGGTCGGTTTGCATTCGCATCAAGTGGCCAAACCACTCTATTTGTTGCTTCTTTATGTATTGCAGGCATGGTGTGGTTCCTACAATTGCTCTAATGTTCTCGTTTCGAACTCTGTCTCTCCTTGTGACATTGGCAGCCTTACGTAAGCATCTCATTTCGCACGTCGTGATCCTTTTCTCCTGTGCTCTTGTTAGGGACCAGGTTTGGCATTGGTAGCAGAGGGTTGGTATAAACATGCAATTTATCAGTTGTCGTTTTAGTGCCATAGTGATGCTTGGGTGTTTTAGCAATGGGGAGAGTTGGTAAGTTACTGCGTTCGCCTTTTGACATCTTGCCTCAAGTTCCCTATCAATTCTTCCATCATCTGTGAAGATGCTGCCCAAGTATTTAAATTGCTGCACTTGTTTGAGTTGTTCGTTGTTAACTTGAATAGTTAGTATATTAAGTGTTCTACTTATTTTCAGAATTTCTGTTTTGGTGATGCTGATCTTCATGTTATATTCGTTGCAGACTGTGTGTAGCGCATTTACGTGTATTTGAAGTTCTTTTTCGTTTTCATGTATTATGCTTTAGTCGTCTGCGAAAAGTATTTCGTTCAGTTGGGGATGTACTTCTTCAGGATCGGCGTGTATGTTTTCATTATAATGATCTTTTTCAACTAACTCTGACTCACTGCTTGGTGTAGTTAACAGTTCACTTATCATTACATGGTTTGCTGCTGTTGTTATTCTGTCCATGTATATATTGAATAGTAGTGGTGATAGTACACAACCCTGTCTTACTCCTGTTCTTAGTATGAATTCGTCTGTCACACCAACATTTGTTCTAACTACGCTTGAGCTTGTTTGGTACAGAGATCTGATGTTGTCTAGTAGCTGACCTTGTACTCCATAGTCGTTCAATATATTCCATAGTTTGTTCTTGTCTACCCTGTCAAAGGCTTTTTCTTGGTCAATGAATGCTATATTGAGTTGTTTGTTATATTCTATTGCCTTTTCACTAAGTTGTCTTAGGGTGAAAAGGGCGTCTGTGCAACTTTTTCCTTTCCTAAATCCAAACTGAGCTTTACTCAGCTGTGTCTCTACAATATGTTTTGTTCTTGTCTCAAGTACTTTTGAATATAACTTCCCTACGTGGCTCAATAAAGACATTCCTCTATATGTGTCACACTCTCTTTTATTGCCCTTGTTTTTCCAAATTGGGACTATAATAGCTTTTTGCCAATCCTCCGGAGTTTTCCTTTCGTTCCATGCTACCGTGAATATTCTATGTAGCCATTTTGCTCCGGTTTATCCGCACGCTTTAATTGCCTCGTTCGTTATACCATCTATACCTGCTGATTTATTATTTGGGCTCATCTTGATAACTCTCTCAACTTCTTGAATTAGAATGCAAGGTTCTTCTTGTTTTCAGATGTCACAAAATACAAAATAATAGTTTGAAATAACTTTCATAGCAACGTTCCACCTCTGAAAATTTGAACAAAGAAGACACAAATACAAGATTATGCAGTTTATTGCTTCCCATATGTCGCTGTATCTCGCCATGTGTATACTGCAGTAGCAATTAATAATAATGAAGTAAACAAGTGAATACTATGTAACTAAAGTACAAATTCAATTAATCTAGTACAAATTCAATTAATCTCAAAAGCCACGGTCTGTTTTACCAGAGCAATCGCAGTGTCATTAATAGAGCTATGACAGGGGTTATGAATTGTGGCCGCCACCATTGCATAAGGTAGCTGCGCCAGCGGGTCAACAACAATTACCCACGAGTAGAATTGAATTATTCGCGGAGGGGAGCAACAGTCAGGACAAAATCAGCAGCCTGTACACGTACTACTGCATAAGGAATACAGCCAATTAGTAAGCGACCACCACCTGTCTCTTCTTAATGTCCATTTCGTAACACAAATAGCAACAGGCAGTATGCGCTCTGAATGGATAGAAAGCATCAGGAAATCGCACTTAACCTCCGTAACCTGGATCTACACACCGGGTCATGCGGGCGTGAAGGGAAATGAGCGAGCAGACCAACTGGCAAGCGCCGCACTAATGATTGCGGGAAAAAGTATGGACAGAGCAGACATAGTCAACGCTGTACGAACTGGGCTAGTGGAGAATGAGGAATCTCTGACACTAACACGATTGCGGGACATGGGAGTTAAGCATGGTGATGCACGTCTTTGCCGTCTTCGAGGCCGAGAAAGGAGACAATATAACCAGCTTCTCATGGGGACAATTAGTAAAAGTACTTTAGAGTGGCTGCTGCTTCGGAGAACTGAGCACGCATGGGTATGCCCAATGTGCAGTGACATTAATTGTGATAACAGAACATAAAATAACAATCATCTTAGTAGGGAGTCGGCAGTACGAAACCCAAGTTCAAGGTGTCTCCTTCGTGCCAAAGAACTGCATGGCTGTTGGGTGAACAGTCGTTAACGATGGCAGGCAGGTCGTTGTAGGGGCGACGCCTGCTGGTGGATGTAATGTCCTAAGTCCCTTCCCCAGCTAATAATGAGGGTACTGCTGGGGTGACCGTTTATTAACCCTCATACAATTCTTCCGGTCAAAATGGACGCTAGGTACGGCCACCTTTTTTTTTTTTTTTTGCCAGACGGTGGCCGTTGCATTTTTGCTCCATTTGTAGACTGGAAGGATGTAGTTTCGTCGCCCAGCTTCTGAGTTGAGTGCATGGCTTGACACTGTGAGCTGCGTTTGTTTTTCGTTGGCACAGGAGCGGAGCATATGTGGGGTGACCCGTTTGCTATGAAGCTGAAACTAGGATTACCAGATTACCAGATTACCAGTAACACAAATAACCACAGTGTCAAACACATTAGCTGAGAGATGGAACAATTTAAAAGAAATTCTAAACGTGCGTTAACGATGAGTACGGTAACTGATGCACAAATGTGCACGCCAGAAAGCATAGAGCTCTCTTTTCACCCTACCCCTTCCCCCGTTTAATGTCTCTAGTGTGGCGACTGATCATACTAGTTATATAACTTTAAAAATATATTTGTAATCACATTGCGTATGGTGGTAGACACAAATGTTAATAGGCTAATCAGTTCTTGATGGGTGAAGTGGTCAAAAACATGCATGTCGCCTTTACTTTCCAGACATTACCTGTTAACCTTTTAAGGCTGGGTTGGCCAGCCAAGGTCGGTTTACAAATTTAAAAAAAAATTCAGGCTGGATGAGGATTTAGTTAGATGATCATTTAACAGTTTTCTGGTGAACCTGACATGGCTGTCAAGTATTCCTGCTCATGGTTTTACCTGTTTGTCTTCTATCCTGAGTTACAGCGGCATCAAGATATTTAATTTATGATGGATACTGTGGCTTAGGCGTTTCGAGCATGCTTCGTAATGCCGCGTGCCGGGTTCGATCCCAGTTACAGGTAATTCGACAACAGACCTTCTTTCGTTAGTTTCGACATTGGTATCGAGAGCTGACTGTTCAAGAAGCAATGGCAAACTACTGAACGTCAATTTTGCCTAGAAAAACCGCGACAGCCCCCTCAAAAATACTAGAGTTGGTTCTGCAACGTCATGTAAAGGATACGCAACTAACATTTTTAATTAGATGTGTGCCGCCGGAGCCGACGTAATGTAGTGGCTAAACGCCTGCCTGTGCATCCGAAGATCGTGGGTTCAGATCCGGACGAGCCGGACTATTTAAAAAGTAAAATACACTGGCTCCGAGGTCAATCCAGCCTTAAATGCATACCAGGTCTGGGATGTGAAGGCGGCTGGTGTGACCCACCAAGTCCCGATTCGTCTATAAAATATAAGTCTAACTCTCTATCCCCAACACATATGAGGGAGTAGAAAAGGGTGCTTTACTTTATTTACTCGATGGGTACGAGGTCAACATCAGAACGGCTGTCTTTAATTCACGAAACATTTCTGTATATGAATTTTAGGCTGGACTGAACTGGAAGTCGGGTCAGTTTTTAAAAATCGGTACGCCTGGTCATCGTGGGTTCCAATCACAGTCGATGTGGAATTTAACAATTAACAAGAGCTCTGATATAGACCAAGCCTAATATGGGGTTCAGGAAGTGTCTTGGGGAGTAAACGAGGTCGGGATGTTTTTGGCCAGATCACCCATTGATTAGACTATAAAAAATATGGGACTATCATTATTTAACACAGTACAAATATGATGTATAAAGAATTACGAGAATTTAATTTTACCGACCGTGTGTGTGTGTGTGTGTGTGTGTGTGTGTGTGTGTGTGTGTGTGTGTGTGTGTGTGAGTATTTTTTTTTTTAAAAAGGGGGGAGGGGCATGTTTGTGTGAACTCACAATTCGCCAGTCACTCTGTGTCCTTGTTATTTTATTTTTAACTTGTTCTTGACTCAGATCAAAGGATGGAGTAACCGATTCATCTTCATCATCGTCCAGAAACACTGTGTGTTCTTAGGTCACCAGTTGCTGTTGACTGATCAGCTCCTTCCACCATAACCGATTACAATGTCTTTATATTGCAGTCTCGTAGCAAATAGCTGACTGGTGGCTTTCCTGTTTATCTATTTATAACATTCATAATACGATGCTTTAAACTGACCTACTATGCACTTGCTGCCACGCATATCGGAGTCGTAGGGCGAAGTCTTTTTTTTTTTTTAAATAGAAAATACATTAGAGGTAGAATGTGTGAAGCCTTAGCACATACTGGGCCATGAAATAATGTGGCATGGTGACTAAGCTACCTTTCACGCAGCTATAGTGACTTCGTACCCGTGGAACATAATGTTCCCCACAACAAACCAATGCCTTCTCTGTTGAATCTCTTGCTTCAGCTGATCGTTTTCATTCTGTCAGTGCAGCTATTATTTTCTCTCCTGCAGGAAGAATGAAGTTCAACCCCACCTGAACCGCACACAGAGCGATAAACACAAGTCCCAGAAATCCCATTCAACTGTTATGTTATATTAGCCCCCCCCCCCCCCCAACTTCAGCCGGGAGGAAGCTTTAAAATAACGAAAAATTGCGTCCCATATTGAGATGGCACTATCTAAAATATTAGCGGCAGGAGGGGCGGAGTGGGGTGGGAGAGATATCTGTAACAGACCCTTCTGCCCGCTTCGTATATAATACTTTTCAGTGTTTATGATATTTCTGCGGTCCTTCTACGTGGTCGACCTTTGGCTCTGTTACCACTGTGCCTGTACAGCATTGCTCTCTGTGCTGCTTTGTCTGATGTCAATCTTGTTACATAGCGTAACTAATCAATGTTAATTGTGAATAATTAATCTGGTAATCTTAGTTTCAGCTTCATAGCAAACGGGTCACCCCATCTTTGCTCCTCTCTTGTGCCAACGAAAAACACAGAATGTTTATCACAGTTCCTTGTGGAGAGGTTGACAGACTTCTGTCTCAGCAAATCTAGCATACACACGCATTAAAAGCATTCGGTAGCCATCCGAAGTGCTAACACAAACAGTCCGACATTAGAAATGCAGTTCATCATTGATGGTAGCAGAAGTCACCAAAAGATCAGCAGTTGCACACGCGATCAATTTTATTCACATAATGGCCCCACCACGAAGCTTAACGGCAGAAGTGGTTTAAGTTTATGATGATGATTAATGGCCCCACCAATATTGCGACAACCTGCATCGCGTCATTTCCGTGGATAATTAACTTTAGTTGTGAATTTTGCCTACTTCGAAAAGCTTTTCGGACCACCTAATTTTCGATATCTCTGCTTTCAACACATGTTACTGGGTGGGGGATCTGGCACCACGTTCAACCTACCCCCTTCTGTCTTGGAACTGACAATAGCAGTGACAATGACTGGAAATGTTTGTACCTTAATTTATTGGCATAGATTCCTAAACTGCATATGTTGTTTGCATATAAAAATCATTCTGCAGCGTAAGCGACTAACTTCCGTTTCCGTTTACAACTCAGTCACAGGCAATCGCATAGAGAAGTCTGGTCGGCGTCTGCTGGTCTTATAGCTGCACACTTTAGTTGAATATAATAAGGTAATTCTTCGTTAGAACTAGCTAAATCTACTAAACACAGCTTTGCTTTCACATGTAGCCGTGTTCGGCTGTTTATCCTACATTCGTAATTTTATATGTTCCACTCCCTACAGTCCTACTACTCCTATCGTCTGAGTCACTCCATCATTTTATTTATGTTTTGACTCTTGTCCTTGTTGCTTCTTGTTTTGGAAGTTAGAGGAGCCAACTTTGACTTAAAGCAATAATAACCCTAACGGCCACTATTTTAATTTTAAAAATTCACAGTGTTTCAAGTACTGTTAATGAACGTTTAAAGTTGATAGGTATGACAAACTACTGGACGTAAATTTGCCTAGAAAAACCACACAACAGCCAGGGGCTGTTGGGGTTGGTTCTGCAACGTCCTGTAACGGATACGCAACTAACCAGTTGATAGGTAAAGTGCATTTAAAAAAATGACATCTCAATAAATGACAGAACTGCCAGGCACTCTTCCGAATACTTATTCACTGTTTAAAAAATCCCATTCAGGGCCTCAACAGAACTATGCTTTGCGCTATAATATCAATGTATTTGAACCGAACTCTTGTGTCTTCCGTAGTACAGTTGTAAGTATTCCACCTGTCATGCGGGTGACCAGTGTTCGACTCTCCACCAAGTGATAATTTTGTTTTTAGCCCTTAAAAGGGCGGTTGGCACGCTGTGGTGTGGTTTACAGCTAGGCTGCAACATCTGCACCTTTCGCCCCAACACATTTGATTTCAGCAAAGTCCTAATTAGTCACCTTTTGCAAATGCTTTTTAGGTAGCAGTGGATCTATGCTATTTTTTGGTCCTCACTCGTGTGGCCCTGGTACCCACATGGAGATTCATGGGTAATGTGAACAAAGGATCAAAACCTATTCTTCCCCGCGCTGCTTTAATGAATTTAAAATAACTCCTTCCTTCGTCGCTTTAACAATGGATCAAAATATATTCCTCCCCACGCCGCTTCAGTGTATCCTAAACTATTCCTCCACAGGGCGCTTAGCCTAAGCTCTAAACATTGTTTTCAATCGCGCGATTACGCAGAAGTGGAAACTGATCATGATGACCTAAATGTTTTTACTACATAACCTCTTGAGACTCTTAAAGGGATGTTTTTCGCAGTGAATAATTTGGGGCCGGTTTTCGGAAGAGTGCCGAACTGCCATTTGGGTTGGGAAGGCGACTGGAATGATTAAAGTAGTTGATAGTTAGGGCATCAGAAATAGGATATGATATAGGCCTAACAAACTAGGGCTTTTTTTCCTAGGTACAAAAAGGTGCCAAAACTCACAACAAAGTGTCTTCAGAGTAGCCTGAAAAAAAAGTGCTGGTACTGCACACCATTGCCCACCATCAGGAAAAAACCTCCCAACCCAACATCCATGCTTCAATTGTATCAACAGAACTGGTGGATGTGTCTCATAATAGGACTAACCTAATGTTTAATCCAAAACTGTGAACATGGTGAAAGCTGGTGATCCATGAGCCTCCAGTACACACTTACCAGCATAGCTTATGATGTTGTTGAACGTTGGTGACCTTTCTGCCCCACAGCCAAGTCTGAGAATGCAGAATTCAGGCAGCCCACAACTGGACCTAACTGGGAAGCTGATCATCAAAGTGACACTGGGGGATGACATCAGGCGTATTCCCATTCATAATGAAGACATCACCTATGATGAGCTGGTCCTGATGATGCAGAGAGTTTACAGAGGGAAGCTGAGTACCAATGATGATATTACCGTCAAGTACAAGGATGAAGGTGTTTTATTGAGTTTTTTAATTGATTCTTAACTCATTGCTGTACAGCTTTGTGGCTTAGAGGTTAATGAATGCATTTAACAATTTCACAGTCCTCACTGTGTACTGGTTTGACTCCTGCATCGGATGGTTTATTTGAAATAAAAATGTTTTTATGGCATTTGGATAGTGGTACGAGAGTCATACCATGGAAGAGACTGGGGGCACACTATATAATCGTCTGAAAGTTGGCAGTGAGTGCACTGCAGCCTTAATTGTGAAGGCAATGAATACTGACATTTTTTTTCTTTTTTAACTTACACACCATGGAAAAGACTGTCAGTGCTAATCAGCTGGTGGCTCATTGGGCGAATCCGGCCCACAGAGGTCTAGTAAGAGGCCCGCGAGTCTTTATCTCTTTGTTGTGTTAATGATCTTTCCATGTTGGGCTCAGGCTTTTAGCCTGTGATGATCCTCATTGTAATCATTTTGGACCACTTAATAAACTTAGTTGACTAGCCCTGGACTATGTATGGCCTTACCAGGTAACCACCCCACAGTTGACAGTGACTATACTGCAGCCAACCTTTATTGGAAAGACAGCACACAGTTTGCTTCAGCTATTTGCATATCACTTTTAAAACACAATTTTCTAATTGTTAAAGGTGAGAGGATACACTTCATTGCACTAGGTTTTATCCCACACGGATCACACTATCTGCCCACAGAGATCATCACACAAAGTACAATCTCTGCAGCTCTGGTGATGATCCCAAGGATCCCTGTAAAAATTGCACCTGTGAACTGAATGATGCAGCCGTGAAATGAATCTACAACCTTAAGAGTGCGAGCAAGTGTCGTGAACAATTCGCTACTGATACCCTCTTTCTTATTGTAATTTGTATGATGTCTGTGAAATGAAGTGTTTATGTTACTTTATCCATCCTTGAGTTGTCTGCCTTAATTTGTAGGCAGAAAGTATTTCAGCTATATAAGGACCAAGAATTTGGCATCTCCTTACCCTTGTTGGTTTCTGTGGCTTAGGTGTTAAATAATTTGGAGGTACCAGGTTCGATCCCAGCTGTGATCAATTTTGCAGCAGACTGCCTTGCACTGATTTTGACTCAGGTAATGAGAGCTGACTCATCAGGAAGCAGTGGCAAACTGCTGAACAGAAAATTGACTAGTAAAAGCAAAAACAGCCAACGTTATAAAACATCCTGTAAAGGGTACAGAATTGACTTGAAACAGTTTTTTATAAATCCAAGATTGCAGGTTACACCAGGCTATTGTTGTTGTTACAGGTGCCTTAATTATAACTTCTTAGGAAGGTAGAATGGAGTTATTTTTCTTCGCATTCACAGGCTGTAAACTCCGGTGGAAAGTTCTGGTTGTCCATCCAGCTATGGACTTTAGACTTGTTCCAGAACCTGAGTGTTGCGTGCACATCCGTTTTTACAGATCTGACTTATTTGTGTGCAGACTGTTGGTTCCTTGCCTCTCAGGCAGATGCACTCCGACTTTGAAGGAATCTCCCAGTTAGTTGACTCTTACCTCTTACTTGTTAGTTAGGCAGTGGGTCAAACCTTTAGGTTGCACCCTAGAGGGGAGTGAACGGAAGTAAACATTTGGTGCACTGCCAGCGGTTATGGGAGCCTTGGTGGAGTAGTGGCTAGAGACACTTGCATGCCATCATCTGTTGCCCTCCTAGAGTGTTGCAGAAAGCTCAGTACTCCATAGCACCAGCCACAGTCTCCAAGACTTTTGAAGACTTGTAGAAGATTTTTTTTTTTTTTTTTTTTTTTTTTCAGTGAAGGTTTTCTCTGATGAGATGTGTGGTAGGCTTCAATGTTACTTTTCTTGCACCAGATTACCTTTATTTTCTCAGCCCTCCTGGAAAACACTAGCAATGGTAGATAGAATTATAGCAATGTTCTTTTATATTTGCAGTTGATGTTTATCTGTCTCCCAGTTTTAGGCTCCAAAACAAGCGGATTTTTATATTGATCTAGACTCTCAGGTCAGCCAAGCCTAACATAGGTACCAGGAAATTTCCTGGGAAGTAAAGTTGGCTACATATATCACTAAGTATTGACTGATCTATACGAAAATCAATCAAGCACCATATTTATGAGGCACCAGTGGCAGAAAAAAAGTCCCTTTATTACTGTTTTGTTTTTACTTATACCATAGAAAGGCTACCAATAATGAAATAATTAATTACATTGTTTATATTTCTTTTCATTTATAATTTCAGATGGTGACCTGATAACTATTTTTGACAGTTCTGATCTTACATTTGCCATTCAGTGTAGCCGCATTTTAAAAATTACATTGTTTGGTAAGTTGTCAGTTTGATCAGGCTCGTAATGTACGAGAATCATGTTCTAGTTGTTTCCTAATTGTGAATTTAGACCTTGTTAGAACAGTTTTGCGACAGATCTTTATATCCATCTAAGATGCAAAAATGCAAACAGAGGAAAATGAATAGTGAGAAGCAACAAAAATTTTTTTTTTTTTTTTAAATTATGAGGGTTAGTAGATGGGAATTGTTAGGGCTTATGGAGAGAGTGGTAGAAAACAAAGAAAAAACAAAACTGCAAACACAAAAGAGTTTTGTGAGAGTAGCCCACAGGGCAGGCCAAGACAGTAACAAAGAGATAATATACAGACATGTCTACATAGACTTGGAGCAGCGGCTCTCAACCTGTGGGTCGCGACCCCTTTGGGGGGTAAATGACCCTTTCATAGGGGTGGCATAAAGATAATAGAAAAACACACATTCTCTGAAGTAATAGATTAGCAACGACAATAATTTAATGGTTGGGGTATCACCAAAACATGAGGAACTGTATTAAAAGGTTGCGGCAACAGGAAGGTTGAGAACCACTGACTTGGAGTCACGTACTGTAAAGAGAAAGACAATCACAGAGATGAATGGAAGTTATTGATATCTACAGCGGTGAACCTTAAAATAATTAAAAAAAAAAAAAAAAACCCAGTAAAACAACACAATGTAAAATATATATTATGGTTCAAGGCACAGATTAAGGATTTGAAGAAATTGAAAGTGAATGTCTGGCAGCAGTGTTGTTTCCATATTGTAGAACTGTCATCATCATGAAATGGCATGCAAGTAAGCCTAGGCTGCCATGTTTTACCATCTCTCACAGTCACACAAAATGCCCTTTATTGTACCATTTGAAACCAATGAACAAACTTAGTTTTGGTGAAATCTAGAACATGCACACTCATATAAATGCATAAGGTAGCCACTAGAAGAGCCAACACGAACAGTCCACTACTAGGATTGCAATTTATCATTCATAGTCACAAAAAGCTGATCATATAGATGTTATTGCATAAGGAACTTTGCCAGCCCTACTGACCCTTTCCTGAAAATCACAACATAAACCCTGTGGGCACAATGAAAGGCATTTCATATGAAATACACAGCTCACAGTGTTGCACCAAACACTCGGCTAAGTATTGGTATTGGAACTCTGCGCTGGCTGCTCAAGATGGTGATGGAGTGCTTATGGGAACGCCACTAGTGCTGTGATGTCACTTCTTGAATCAACTCAACTCATTAATTTTATTTATGCAGTATTTTCCACTTTTGTGTTACCTTTATTTATGCAGTATTCTAATTTTTAATCAGCTTTTTATTTTCTGTGAAAAATGTATTACATTGTCATTAGGTTTTTTCTGTGCAGTATATTACATTTTCATATATAGTGGTATTTTGACAGCTTTCACACCATCATTTTGTAAAGATCCATAACATGTTGGATTTTCCAGTTGGTGGGCCTTCTAAAAATGTGTTGGAACCAGCAAACACAGCAAATATTAGAAGAGAGTTACAGGAGATCCGAGATAAAGTCATTGGACTGTTGGACAGGTTGGAACCTGCATCTCTCGTGGCCGGTACCCAGGCCCTCAATATAGCAGATGGTATTTCGGGTAAAGGTACACTTTCATCTTGTATTAACTTTCTTTTTGTTTCTCCTTCCTTCCTTCCTTCCTTCCTTCCTTCCTTCCTTCCTTCCTTCCTTCCTTCCTTCCTTCCTTCCTTCCTTCCTTCCTTCCTTCCTTCCTTCCTTCCTTCCTTCCTTCCTTCCTTCCTTCCTTCCTTCCTTCCTTCCTTCCTTCCTTCCTTCCTTCCTTCCTTCCTTCCTTCCTTCCTTCCTTCCTTCCTTCCTTCCTTTCCTTTCCTTCCTTCCTTCCTTCCTTCCTTCCTTCCTTCCTTCCTTCCTTCCTTCCTTCCTTCCTTCCTTCCTTCCTTCCTTCCTTCCTTCCTTCCTTCCTTCCTTCCTTCCCTCCTCCCTCCCTCCCTTTCTTCCTTCCTTCCTTTATCCCCCAATGGAGCAGAGGTCTCAACCAACTTAAGCTAAGTCATCCTGTTCTTTAATGTGGCATTTCATCCTCATCTTTTTAACTTCATTCTCTGACTCCCTTCTCCATATGTTTTTCGGCCTGTCATTATTTCTATGCCCCTGTGAATTTCATGCAAAGACATTCTAGTTGCATTGTTCTCAGGTTTTTTCAAATTGTGTCTAATTGAATGCTAGGGTCTGTTCTTTGTTTACCCATGATATTCCCCCCCCCCCCCCCCCCCCCCCTCCCATTCTTTAAGGCATGACCTTTTCAGTGTGCTTGTATTTCTCTGCCCGTGTAAGTTCCAGTGCAAAGACAAGTTATATTGTTGCAAGGTTTTATCAGCCTGTCTCCAGTGTAATGCCAGGGTCGCTTTTTTGTTTTACTTATGATTTTTTTCTTCTAATTTTTGAATGCATGGCAGGAATGTGGAGAATGCAAGTGGTGAACAGCTAAAGGTTTCAGAATTGGTCACTTTTTTCAACTGCTAGGCAGATCTCACCATTGGCACAGTTGCTAGAACCGTCCACACATTACATACATAGAAGACAGGCTTCAGTAGAATGCGAACGTTAGGGCTGCGCCTAAGTTGTTTAACGGCCTATTAGGACATAAAGGGCAGAGGAAGGCCATGATGAAATAAAATTGGAACTTACTTGTTTTATGATTGCAGAGCAGGGATATAAATTTTGTAAAGCATGCACATGTAGTCTCATTATTACCAAATCCGGGAGGGCTTACTCGGTCAACAGATGCCTGTATAAGTCGGATGTATCAGCACAGATATTGCAGCCATGCTGTGAATGGGCCCAACAAGGTTAGTTGTTCAGATGAACACAGAAGACAAAGATTATGACCAAATAGATCATAATTATTTTCTCTATGTGCATGTTACTTATGAATTCATTATGACCGAATACTTTACAGTGATGTTACTGTTGAAATTACTATGGCAGAATACTGTTCATGCGTGTTACTTCAACTCAGTTTAAAACTTGCCTAGAATTCTTTTAATGGCTTGAAACATGGATGGAGTTGTTCAAGGACAACTTTAAGACAATCTCTTTGTAAGGCAGACAGTTTTGTCTGTCCTTGTTCTATTTTCAGAAATGCACTTCAAATATGTAATACAGAGCAAATTATAGCGAATACTTCAGAGGAAGAATTCTACTCAACACACAGGGAAAATAAAATTGCGCAACGGAGGTTGGCAGCTGGATATCTCCGGCAGATAAATGAATATTACGCGGTGAGGACCGTGTCTTCCACAGTACGACTCTCGTCCCACTATCTGAAAGCATCGAGAACTGTCTTTATATGAAATCCCATTTAATACATTTTCATAGGCTTTTTTGAAGACATATTTATTTAAACTCACTTAATTAGATTTTGACACTGGCTATGTGAATTCCTAGGTGATTCATCACGTAAAATTACTTCTGCTGGATCTGGATTGTCTAGAACTGTTAACACTGTTGGAGGAAAGGAATTTGATCCACTTTCTGCACAGAAATCAGTGGAAGAAGCTCAGAGTAAAATTGCTTCTTCATTTGGCATTGATGGGAATGGTATGATGTTGTTTCTGTTCATATTTATTTATTATACCACTTTAGTTGGTGGGTCATTTTTAGTGTGAGTATTTAGGGCCATAAAGCTAGGGTAGTCATTACCAACTAACTGTTCATGTTGGAAATTTATTTTTTAACCAGACAAAAAAAATAAAGTTATCACCTTATTGAAAATTGAAACCTGAGTATACTCAGTGAGAGCCCAGCATTATATTAATTTAGCCACACACCGCTCACATTAGAGTCTAAAAAAATTAATCTATCACGGTTTGGGATATAAGTCTCCTCTGATGTTTCTTTGCTATGATATCATTTAGGGCCTTGAGTCCACCCACAAGCCGTGCTAACAGTTGCTTAGATACCAATGAGGTCTCTTATCTTAGGCAACAAAAAGGATAGGAACCAGATAAGAAAGACACACAAATATGATACCAGTTGGAACTTCTGACAATTAAAGGTTGAGGAAGGCAAACCCCCAAAAATACTTATCAAAATCAGATGTACTGTGTCACTTGTTTGATGAAACAGTGTGTACTTGCTTCTTGATAATGAACTTCATGATGATAATCATTTGAAGTAATTTCTAGATACTTCTTTTTCTTAGGGTTCACTATCTGTAAGCGCTGGCAGAAAGTTCTCATTGTTTGCCCACCTTTGGAATTTGGTATTGTTTTAGAACTTGAGTTGTGCATGCACAGCCATTTTACATATCTTACTTATTTGTATGCGTACTGTTGGTTCCCTCCCTCTCAGGCAGATGCACTCCAACTGAAGGAAACACCCCTAATTAGTCATCTCCTACGACATGCTTGTTAGGGGGCAGTAGGACTATTCTTTTTTTTCCCCAAATTAGGGCCCTAGAATTCAGATTAAAACACTATATGATGCTTCAAAATTGGTTTCCTCTTCCTGTTTGTGCAGTGTCAGGAACATCTCAGTACGACCGAGCTGCCACACCAGACAGTGTCTCCAGCATAGGCTCGTCTGCCAGCAACCAAGTCAGAGCTCAGCAGAGTGTGTATCAGGTGAGTAGTGTATTCACCTTTGTCTCTGAAGTTTATGAAGTATGCTGGTGTAAATGGATTGACCTGTTGAATCCTCTGTATCAGTATTCTTCTCCTGCTTCTCTCACTTCACTTTCTCCTCCTCCATTGTAATCTAATCTGTAAAAAGAAGAGGCATTAGAAGAGATCTTTACCACACTCCTACTCTTATTTCAATATATTTGAATTAAAATTACCACTCTGCATTTTATGTCATACATTGCTTAAATAACCATGAATGCCTACTTGAATTGGTCATGCACAGAACAACAGTTGTAATAAAAAAATTCTTTGAGCATAATTGAGTACTTGAGTTCTAGGGTTTATTTCAATGGCCAACAGTGCATTAAAAAAAAATAAATAAATAAATAAATAAAAATATAGCCCTTGTGGTTTTCGGAGAGTGTCTGAGAATCGCTCCATAGAAGAAGTTGTAGCCTTACTAGGTAGGGTTCCCAAAATACAGCAGTGAGTATCCTGTACCCAACCTTCATTATTAGGATGGCACACAATAGTAAGACACAGGAGAAAACATGTTCTCTTTTATCTTGCAGCCCCAGCAGCAGCCCCAGCAGCAGCAACAACCAGCACCTCAGCAACCAGCTGTTCAACAACACCAGCAACTACCATACCCAAACCAGCAAGGCTACAGCCAAGGTCAGCAGGGTCAGATACCTCAATCCTACGCTGGGCAGCCTGGCTATGGGGGACCCCAGGCACCTGAGCAGTCACAGCCACCGGCGGCACAGCAGCAGCACCAGCATTATGATCATTGTAAGTAGAATTGCGTCAGCTGCGGTGAGAAAGAAAGTTCTTAAGAGCTGTACTGGTCCAGTCCTGATGTGAAGAAAAGGTCCCTTTTCCATGTCCGTAGAGCATCTAGGGCTAGACCTATTTTTATAGATCAGTCGGCACAATATGGGTGATGTGGTCAGCTTCACGCTGGCCACCTTTATTTCAAGACAGGGTTGACCTGGGAGTCAAGGTCGTTTTTAAAAAAAAAGTCCGTCTCTACCAGGTAGTAAACCCACGACCTTCCGATCCACACACGATCGTCTAGCTGCTACACCACGGCGACTCCCAGTCCTGATGTATGGAAGTGAATCATAGACAGTCTGCAGTTTAGTTATAAATTATCTGGAAGTTGCTGAACTGAGGGTGTCTGCTTCTTGCTCTTCTTAGCGTTCACCAGCTGTAATCTCTGGCGGAAAGTTTTGTTTCCCTTTTACAGATCTGACTTATTTGTATGCAGACTGTTGGTTACTTGCCTCTCAGGCACATGCACTATGACTGGAAAGGAAACATCCCTAATTCATCACCTCCTAGGACATGCTTTTTAAGGAGGCAGTGGATCTGTTCTTTGTTCTCCAGAAGAGAACCACAGAACTCACACAGGGAGAGATGGGGTTTTTACTTTGACAGTTAGAGTGAGACAGAGCTATATAGAGCCAGTGTCGTGATTAATCATCCTAAAGCAGTCGGTTAGAGAGACATTATTATGAAGCTGAAGTAGAGGACCCTTTTACTACCATTGGTAGATCAAGCATATGGTGCTGCATCCATTTTTTGGGGATATACTAATCTTCCCCGTGTGGGTTCCTGAGGCCATGTTGTGGGGAAAACAAGAAAGGACCCACTGTCTACCCCAAAAGCATGTCGTAGTATTTGACTAACTGGAAGCTTCTTTCGAAGTCAGAGTGCATCTGCCTGAGAGAAAGGATACAAACCGTCTGCACACATAAATTAGTCGGATCTGTAAAACGGATGTGCATGCAACACTCGGGTTCTGGAACAGAACTGCAGTCCAGAAGTGGACAACAACCATTCCGTCAGAGTTTGCAGCTGGTGAATGCGAAGAATAAGATTGACCGATCAACACTTCAAGATGAGACTGCCACACTATATATTCCTAGAAACTAAACAGACACTGAAAAAAAAAAAGAATCTCAAAGATCTGATGGTGAAGCCCCTGAGCCAGGCAGGTCATCTAAGTGAACTGGGGAAGAAAACAACAGGAGTGCTGGTACAAGCAGCAGAGGTGATGGCAGAAATGCTACCGAATGCATTGCCATGGAAGGCTGTCGCTAGACTAAAATATAAAGCATAGATAGGAACTTGGAATGTGAGCAGTCAGTACCAAAAGAAACTAAGTATAGTCTTCAGCGGAGGTATTTTGGTCAATATAAATGTCATGGTGGCCTGGAGAGAGCGGTGATGGGGGCTACAGTTTCAGGAAAATGAGGCAGGGGCAGACTTTAACAATAGAAAAACTAGAGCTGCTAAAGCTAGAGCTCAGGTTAAATATACAGAAGCCAACAAGGAAGTTAGGAGGCGTATAAGGGCAGATAAAGTGAAATATCTAAATTATCTAGCACAAGAAGCAGAGACAGCAGCAGCAAAAGGAAACCTCAGAGAACTTTACAGTAACACAAGAAAATTAGTAGGTAAATATAGTCAGCCAACTGGATCAATCAAAAATAGTCAAGGAACGGTAGTTACTAACACTGAAGATCAAATAGACAGATTGGCTGAATATTTTGAAATGCTTTTAAATAGACCAGGCCCAGAGGTACCTCCAGATATTCAACCTTTAAATATGGAACTGGATATCAACTGTGAGATATCATCTAAAGAGGAAATTAGAAAAGCTATCAATCTTCTCAATTAAGGAAAGGCGGCAGGTCCAGATGGTGTCCCAGCAGAAGCCATTAGAGCCAATTTAAACACATAAATGGAATTGCTACATAGATTATTTAGTAAAGTGTGGGAGACCGAAGAAATACCAGCAGACTGGAGAGAAGGATATCTTGTGAAACTGCCCAATAAAGGTGATCTACAGGAGTGTAAAAACTATAGAGGAATTATGTTGCTGTCAGTTCCTGGAAAAATATTAAGTAGAATTATTTTGGAAAGATTAAAAGATGCTATTGATAAAAAGCTAAGAGATGAAGAGGCAGATTTTTGGCCGAACAGATCCTGTACTGACCAGATAGGCAAATTACGTATAATAATAGAGCAAAGCATTGAACTGAACTCACCACTTTACATTGGATTCATAGACTATGAAAAAGCATTTGACAGCATTGATAGGGAATCTCTCTGGAAATTTATGGGGCACTATGGAATCTCTTAGTAAAAGCAACATAAAAAGACATGAAATGTCGAGTTCTTCATGAGGGAAAGCTAACAGATACATTTGAAATAAAAACAGGTGTGCGACAGGAATGTATCTCCTATTTTTACTGGCTATAGACTGGATTATGTAGACAGTAACTGCTAACACCAAGAATGGAATTCAGTGGACCCCTACAAAACATCTTGATGATCTGGACATCGCTGATGATATTTCTTTTCTGTCCCATTCACGGAATCAGATGCAAGACAAATTAAATATACTTGATGCGAGATTACAGCAGCTAGGTCTGAAAATCCATAAAGGAAAGACAAAGATATTGAGAATAAATCAGGAAAATAGTAATGTGGTTTTACTTAATGGACCCCACTTCAAGCCGTGGAGGCGTACACCTATTTAGGCAGTAATGTAGATAAAGATCGGGGAACTGATAGAGATATTAAAATAAGAATACAAAAGGCAAGAAGAGCTTCCATAGCACTATGGAATTTGTGGAGGTCAAAAGAAAATTAAAAGAAATATTAAACTTAAAATTTTTAATTCTCATGTCAAATCAATACTTTTGTATGGAGCGGAAACAACTAAAGCAAACTACAAATAAACTGCAGACATTCATTAACTGGTGCCTGCGCAGAATAGAGGGAACTAAATGGTATGATAGAATAACTAATGTAGAGCTTTGGGAGAGAACTAAGCAAGCTCCAGTGGACCAAAAGGTGAGGAAAAGACGCTGGTGTTTGATAGGACACACATTGAGAAAACCGGAGAACAGCATAACTAGAATGTCTTTGCATTGGAACCCACAGGGGCATATGAATAAAAGGAAGGACAAAAAACACATGGAGAAAAGAGCTGTAGAAAGAAGTTAGAAAGATGGGGAGGACATGGGGAGAGCTCCATGTAATAGCGAAGGATAGAACAACTTGGCGTGATTTGGTTGAGGGCCTATGCTCCATTGGGGGATAGAAAGGCAGAAGAAGAGAGGCAGAGGCAGACTTTCGCAAAGGGGGATACAAGACATGGAAGATGCACTAGCTTTGAAATCACATAGAGATGAAGAATTTACTAGAAATAGAGAGACTTTCAGGCGTGTGTGATAAGAGTGAGGTTCTGTAAAATAAGAAGAACTCCAAAGCGGGAGCATGCATAGCACTAAATAAAGATCATCAGTAGGTTGGTCCCTCATCGACACGGTTTCCGTCCGTTTATCCTCCTAGACGATTTCAGAGAGGCTGGCTGGACTGGGTCATGACTTCCAGGCATCAGATTTCTTGCTGTGCTTAATCAGACAAGTCGAAATGGTGGCGTTGCTTTGGATGCTGAGGTTGTGGTTTTATATATATCGTCGCTGCCGTAGCAAATTGTGCTACCATCTTCACGACCAAAGTGACAAATAGGTAAAGGACCTGCTGATTAGTAAATCACCGCTGGATATATGTCAGCATCAGACTAGCAACCACAGCTTCCCGTAACATTTCCTGACACCTATCTGTGCACATGCATGTGTTGGTTTCTGAGTGGAGAAGTAAGTAAATTTGTATAGCACATCAGTTTTAATTGATTTTAATAGGGAGATGAATTTGAACATGTACGTATACATCAGATGTTATGTATACTCAGTCCTGCTATATGGTGCAGGAACTTGGACAATGAACAAGCAACTGGAAAATTGAATTGAGTCTCTGGAGATGCGGGTATACAGAAGAATAGGTCGTATTACAAAAACAGCTCAGTACAGGGGTTCTAGAAAGACTGCAAATGAAAAAAGAATTACTGAAATAAATAAAAAAGAGACAGTTGAAATACTTTGGCCACGTTAAAAGACAACACATTTTTAAAAACCATACTGGAGGAAAAGATCGAAGGCAAGAAAGCAAGAGGTAGGCAACGATACAAGTGGGAGGACAACATCAAGAGATGGACGGGCAGCAGTCTGAAAGATTATACAACCAGAACAAGAGACAGAGCGTTTTGGATATCCATTGCAGACAACCTTCACTGTGGAGATGGCACTTGATTGATTGATTGACATAAAGAGAGAGAAAAACTATAGGATGATGATATCCCCATGTGGGTTTTGCTGCCCCATTATGGGTGGAGCAAGAACAAGACCCACTGCCCCTAACAAGCATTTCAGAAAAAGGCATGTAATTAGGATTATGCTGAAATGGGATGTTTGGAGCTGAAAAGCAGAGATATTGGAGCCTAGTTGTGGTCAAAGCAGTGATTCTCAGCCTTCCTAATGCCGCGACCCTTTAATACAGTTCCCCATGTTGTGGTAACCCCCAACCATAGAATTTTTTCATTGAAAATGTGTTTTCCTGATGGTCTTAGGTGACCCCTGTGAAATGGTCATTCGACCCCCAAAGGGGTCATGCCCCACAGGTTGAGAACCACTGCTTTAAAGGTAGAACACAGAAAAAGAAAAAAATTATTCTGTAAAGAAATATGACACAGGTTTTGCTAATCAAATTTCAGCACTGTATAACCAGTACAGTCAGGGTTATGGTGCACCAGTGAGCCAGCACCAAGGACAAGGTCAGCCATCACCAGCTCAAGGGCAAATTATGTATGGCCAGCCTGGAGCACCTGGTCCATATGGTCAAGCTCCTGGAGTACCTCAACAGCCACAGGTTAGACCCACTTTGTCTGGACACTGACACAGTCTTGTCTTGGAATTTGTCTAATTCATTCCCTATCTAGAACATCTTTGTCTGGACACTGAAACAGTCTTGTCTGGAACTTTTCTCATTAATTTCCTATCTAGAACCCCTTGTCATGACACTGATTCATTTGTTATATATCCAGTTTTAACTTATTCCACACTTAGAATTCTATGGTCTTAATATTTTATTTATGTAACCATATTTGCCGCCTAGAATAATCTTGTCTTGAAACTAAAGTATCCTGGCTTTTTAGTTAAATTTTTAAAACAGACTGCAGTCTTGGCAAAGCCAGTAGCAAATACATGCATTAAATGCATATGGCAGCCATCAGAAGTGCCAACACAAATAATTCACCACACTAGAATTGGGGTTCATTATCGATGGAAGCTGCTTCTTCTTCTTCTTCTTCACGTTCATCAGCTGTACACTCTGGCGGAAAGTTCTGGTTGCTCGTCCACTACTGAACTGCAGTCCTGCTCCAGAACCTGAGTGTTGCATGTGCATCAGTTTTACAGATTTCATTCTCTTGAATACAGACTGTTGGTTCCTTGCCTCTCCGGCAGATGCACTCCGACTTCAAAGGAAGCTCCCCAATTAGTCGACTCTTACGACATGCTTTTGGGGAGGCAGTGGGTCTATTCTTGTTTTCCCCACAATGGGGCCCCGGAACCCACACAGGGTCGATGGAAGCATTAGTTACAGTGTATCAGTAGTTTCAAATAAAATCCATAGCTCACATTGTCACGCCATGCACTCAGCTCAATAACTGAATGACAGAACTATATACCTTTAGTCTACATATGGGAGAAAATGCAACAGCAAATCTCAACCAGGTTGGTTAAGTCTTCCATAGTGGACTGGAAGTTGAATTTATGTGTTGAAGAACATACTCACAGCAGTTATTTATTCATCTAGTGCTTTGTTGAGCTGTTTTCAGTCTAAATAAAATGACTATAAAGCATGTTCTGTCCTCAGGCTAAAGGCCCAGGTTATCCAGCAGCCCCTGCAGGTCCAGGTGTGGCCGGATCTCCGGGCAATCCATACTCCAGAGGTGGATATGGTGGAGGCTACCCCAGACCTTCTGCAGGATACCCTCAGTAACGGAACAGTACACTTGTGGAAACATTTCTTTTAGGGATCAGGTTATGGTTTGAGATTTATGTGCTGTAACTAATAGCATATAGATAACAGTTGACAGTATTGTATGTAGATATGTGATTCTTTCAGTTAATTTTTTTTAATTAGAAGTATCTTAGTATTCAGACTATAGAATATAAGTATAAGCTATTGAAGAATATAGGTCTGTTTTAGAACAGGGGTAGAATTTTTGTGTTTCCAGCAATACATTTATGGCAGTGAGAACATCATAGTGAATGTTGTCACTTATGATGGATGCAACATTTAGATTTTGTTTTTAGGGTCAGGGAAGCAACAACTAATTGGTTCTGCTTTACTTTTTAACCTGATGTAGGTCATAAATATTATCATCTCAGAGACTTAGTAACTGCCTGGAATAAATGTCATGAATTTGTGAGTGATCTTAAAATCAGCCATTAAAAATGTTCTTTCTTATATGTAATTAAAAAAAAAAAAATGTGTTAAAAAATGTCATAATCAAATGTAGAACTAGTGAACAAACATGTAAAAGAACAAAAACATGAATTTGTTACAGGTAGGTTGATTCTTCTTCTTCATTACTGCTCTTTTAAGAAGAGTGTGTAACAGTTGTTTATCTCGGAGTGAATGTGATTTCAGCATGGGCGGAAGTGCACCACATCTATTTGTAGATTTCTCTCAGATACACACTCATTTTATTTATGAGGGGAGTGTGGCAAACCAAGTTGTGCATCTTTCAGACTGTGGGAATATGTCTTCCTTCATGAGGGGAGTATGGTACCCCTAGTTGTGCATCCGTCGACCTCAGAAAATATCTAGCTTCAGCATGATGGAAGTGTGATACACCTCGTGCATGTTTCTAACTCAGGGTGTGTCTTAACTTCAGCACGAGAGCAGTGTATCACACCTAGCTGTGCATCCTTCTAATTCATAAAATATCCCCCTTCAGCATAAGGGGAGTTTGATACACCTATTTGTGCATACCTCTGACTCAAAGAGTATGATAAATGCAACATGAGGGGAGTACACCAAACCAGGTTGTGAATCTCTCTTACCTCTCCGACCTCTAACTCAGATGGTGCAAAAGATTTCAGCATGAGATAAGAGTTTGACATGTGAAGTTGGGCAGAACTCTAGCTTAGAATTGAGTACATCTGACTTCAGCATCTGTTTATGAAAGGCTAATTAATTCTTTCAGAAATTAACAATTCAAAGTAGCAGCCTACCCTTGGTTGGGATGTTCTTTTTTGAATAACATTATAAAAGAAGTCTGCTCTTTGTTATGTCCAACTAGTACAAGGGCTTCATGCCCCATCTCCCCCATCCCCTTTCTCTTTATTCAAGATTTCCAGTCTCACTGCGAAACAGATAAACCCAGAGAGCATGTGACATTTTTTATAAGACAGTGACTCTTGAAACATTTTTCAGGTGAATGCTGGGATTTAAACTTGGGAACCTCTGCTCCAAACAGTGTAACATCTCACCTTGAAATGAGTTGATTGAGAAGGGCCAGTCACCTATTTCCATTCCAGTGTGATCTTGACCACATTTCTCATCACTCATATAGTCTATACAAATATGGGTATAGCCCAGTGAGCCTGGTGCATCAGTGATATGAAGAGGGTCCTTCACTATGTTTTACAATACTCCTATGTGGAATAGAGGACAACAAAAGAAGAATGTACTGTATGTTGAATGTGCACATGTAAACACATTCTTGTCTGCTTCTGCAATGCTATTTTGTGTATCAGTTTTTCTCTTGAAGACAATGTTATCAATCAAATTTTTTTTTATATTTAATTAATGTTGTGTATAGTTTGTCCTGTTATTTTCTTGTTCTTTCTTGCTGACTGTAGTGTGTCAGTTAAACTTGCAATATTCATATTATTGGTTTTTATATATGCTGAGCTGTGTAGTATGTAGAATACCAGATTGTATATGTTCGTTACAATGATCAGCTTTCAGCTGAAAGCTTTCAGTCATAGCATGCTGTAGGTATTCTACATTATTATATGCAGCAGGAGCTGTAGTGGCATTGTAGTTGCCCTGCTTGCCTGCAGGACCGACTGTCATGGGTTCATATCTACATAGAGGTTAATGTTAAAAATAATCATCTGCATTCCCAGGCCGAGTCCAGCCAAAAATGCCTAGTATGAAATGTTCTGAGAAGTAAAGTCAGCTGACAGGAAATTCCATTCTCTAGTTTTGCAGTATTCCCTTTGTGATACAGGCGGAGCATGTAGAATAGTAGTCATTCACTTGGGTGCTGACCTCTCTCCAAACTATAGGAACTGCAGACGTCATTGATACATTTTCCTCTTTCTTCCACTGTAGAAATGTTCTTACACAGGTACAGCAGCATATGTGTGGGGTCCTGGTCACCGATCTTGCATCCAAAACAGGTCTTACGCCCTTTTCAATATTGCTGTGACAATCTCTGCAAATATGACAGCTGCTATCTGCACTGTTAACACACTTTCGAGGCATACCTAATGTGGGCTTTAACCTGCATTCTTGAAATTACTTGTTAACACTCTGAGAGTTTGCTTTTTTACTGATTGCATCATTTTTTTAAACATTACTTTCCTCAGTTAGCGTATATGTTTTTGGGCTTTGCAGTTGACGCAGCATGCTGAATTTTGCAGTTAAAAATAAGGCATTTCAAAATGCTGACATTCATACTATATGCAGGCTGACTAGTTTTTACATACCCATCTCTGAATCTTCTAAACAAGAGCCAGTCAATACATTTTAGTTTCATTTTCGTGTTCACTGCCCAAAATTAGTAAAGAACAATTATTTTGTCAGTGCTGGGATCCTATTGTCCAGTATAATTTCTGAAATGGGCAGGTACCAAAACCTATTATGCAAGGCATCATAAAGAGTTTTAAATGTTTTGGTAAGTTGCAAGATGTTCATTTTTGGAGATACTATCTCTTACATTTGTTATCTTAGATCTTTTGGTTTTTTATTGCTTTCTGTGGAGATTCTTAGTGGGAGATGTTTTTTTGTTGAAAGTTTAGTATTAGATGTATGAAAATATCAGAATTTAGTATTTGTCTTTTTGTGACACAGCTAAGTCTGAGATACAGAGTTGTAGGGTTTTGTAGCTGCTGTTTTATCCTTATCATTAATACAAGACAGCTGGTAATAATCATGCATGGATCGATTGGTTCTAAATGCAGTGAGGATGATATGTCAACTAACTAACTTGAAAAATATTGTTTTTTGTATGTATAGATGTTACTGGGGCTGTACATTTGGCATCGTTAGCCTACACAAGAAGCATTCATGTTTTCTCATATTTTGTATGTTGTTGTGTCACATATATTATTGTTTGCTAATATAAAGTATTACTTCGACATAACTGTGTAGTATTGATTGTAATGGGATATTTCTCACTATACAGCCCCATTCTCCCCTGTCGCCCCTTCCCCACACACACACACCCTTTCTTTATCTCTCTTATCTTTCCTTCCCCTCATTAGCACACAGGAGACCTACCCCCACCGCACACATGCACCAAGCAAACCCACAGTCAGAACTTGTTTTCAGCTGTGAAGAGATGCCATCAAACATTCCACTTTATAAGCTGTTAGAGTTAACCCCCAGAAAGCTAAGAAGGTTAAAGTTGAAGTGGCCCTACATTTTAATATTATCTATCTTTGAGGAAACAGTATGTGCACTAGGGGCATTGACTACAAATTCTGATACCTGGTCTGTCTAGCTTTATAGCTTAGAGGTTAGTGAATGTATTTAACGATTTCATAATTCTCAGTTCTTCTTGTTAAAATTCATACTGTATGGCTTTGGTAGTCATGTCTATCCACAACCTTCTGTATCATGTTATT